TCCTGCCCACTGCCTGCTTCTATGGCAGAAACTTCTCTTCTCTCTTCACTCTCTGTCTCTCTTCTCTGTCTCTGTCCGTCTCTGTCTCTATCTGTGTCTGTCTGTCTGTCTGTCTCTCTCTCTCTCTCTTTCTATCCCCCCCCTTTGGGCATTGTGGTTTGGGATATTGATACTGAGAGGTTATCAAGAATATCCCTTACCGGGGCTGGAGAGATAGCACAGTGGGTAGGGCATTTGCCTTGCACACGGCCGACCTGGGTTTGATTCCCAGCATCCCATAGGGTCCCCTGAGCACCGCCAGGAGTAATTCCTGAGTGCAGAGCCAGGAATAACCCCTGTGCATCGCCAGGTGTGACCCCAAAAGAAAAAAATCCCTTACCTACTTTTAACCCGAAAGAAGGCAGTTTAAAGAAAACATGTAAAAGTTGCTTCCTAGTTGAATGATGCGATTACCTTGACTTTCCTGTCCTATACAGACATTTAAAAATCTATATAGGCTGGGCCAGAGAGATAGTCTGGGGATAAGGCGCTTGCCTCGCACACAGCCAGCCCAGTCGGGTTCCATCCCCAGCACCCCATATGGTGCCACTCCCAGAACCAGCAGGAGTGAGCCCCCACAGAAAGAGCCAGGAGTAGCTCTCGAGTGCCACCCGTGTGGCCCAACCCCCACCCAACTCCCACTTCTAATTGCCCCAAAAGCTGATGGCACACAGATACATTATGACAGTTGGAAAATGGGAAAAGGAAGCCACAAAACGAAACTCTCCTGATTTTCACTAGGTCCATCCACGGACGCCAGGTCTGTCCAGGGATCCAGCCGCTTTCAAACCTGTTACCATTTTTCAAAACGCAAAGTTTCCAGCAAGGCATGTCGCTGTTGGTAGGGCACTTGCTCGACATATGTGTAGCCCTGGGTTTGATTCCCACCTCTACATACAACGTTCGAGAGTGGCAAATGGGCTCTTGGTTGCTCAGGTGGCAGCATTTCCTGCTCCCAGGACCTTCGTGTCCCCCAGTTCTCTCCTGATAGTTTCTGCGGCATTTCCTCTGCTTGTCAGTTTTTCCCCCTGAGCTGCACAGGACCAGAATATGCCCTCCCAGCTCAAACTCACCGCAGAGATTCACTAGAACATTAGGACAATTCCAAATCCGGGACATCGAGAAGCCAGCCTCCATGGGTTGGAGGGGTCATTTCTCGGCCAGTGAAGGGGTCGTGTGTTTTCTCGGCTGGGGAGGCCCTGGGAGGGGTATTACAGGGCTAGTGGTGGCATGAAGGGAGAGAGCAGACCCTCAAGGAATGTCACTGCCATTGCTACAGAAGGAGGGAAATACACATTAACAATATTAAAAAAATTTTTTTTTAAATTGCCGTGAGACACAGTTACAAAGCTTTACTGATCAGGTTTCAGTCGTACGATGTTCCGACATTCATCCCTCCACCAGCGTGCATTTCCCACTACAAATATCCCCTCTATCCTTCCTGTCACCCCCTTTGCCCCCCCATCCTGCCTCTATGAAAGGAACTCCTCTCTCTCTCCTCTCTCTCTTTCTCTCTCTCCTCCCTCCCTCCCTTCTTCACTCCCTCACTCTCCCTCCCTTCCTCTCTCCCTTCTTCCCTTCCTCCCTCCCTTCCTCTCATTTTTTTGAGCATTATGGTTTGCAATATAGATACTGAGAGGCCATCATGTTCGGTCTTTTATCCACTTTCAGGAGTGATCCCTTCCGACCATCACTGTCATAATTGTCCCTTCTCTATCCCAACTGCCCTCTTCCTGTGCCTTGGGGCAGGCTTCCAACCATGAACTATTCATGCCGGCTCTTGTTTCTACTGTACTTAGGTGTTAGTCTCATATTGTTTTTTTTTTAAATATATATGCCATAAATAAGTGCAGTCATTCTATGTCTGTCCGTCTCCTTATGACTCATTTCACTCAACATGATACTCTCCATATTCGTCCATTTATAGGCAAATTTCATAACTTCATTTCTTCTAGAAGCTGTATAGTATTCCATTTCATTATGTAGATGTACCATAGTTTCTTTAACCAGTTGTCTGTTCTCAGGCACTCGGGTTATTAACAATATTGCTGGGAGACTTAACTTTCACACCTGACTTTACTACTTCATGTACTGTTTTTTTTTGTTTTTTTGTTTTTTTGTTTTTACAACTTTTGGAGTTTATGCATGGACCTTTAGAGTCAGGGAAAAGGCAGGTGATATGGGACCGTTAGTACAGAGGTTATGTCCTGTACCAGCTTGTTGGGTGTGGGAGGCCCACAGGTGAATGGTTAGGGGACATTCTCCAGCCTCTGTGATTTGGTCTCTCGGTAAGTGCCCCTTTCTGGAGTTTATAGTAAGATCTTCTGGAAGTATAAGGAACTATGAACCAGTCTCATGAAGCTCTGCCTGAGCTCAAATAACATTTGTGTCCATATTGTGGTTTAGTTCTTGAGTCTAGGCATTTATTAAATCTTGAATTGTTGCAAATGGATGCATCTCCTCTTCAAAAAAAAAAAAGACAACAATTTTATTTTTACTTTTTTGGGGGGGGCTTATTGGGTTACACCTGGCAATGCTCAGGGATTGCTCCTGGCTCTGCTCACTCTGAATCACTCCTGGCAGCGCTCAGAGACCATATGGGATACTGGGGATCGAACCCAGATTGGCTTCGTGCAAGGCAAACTCCCTACCTATCACTCCGGCCCCAAGACTACAATTTTTAAAAAGCATTATTTAATATTTCTTTAATATTCCTCTAAACTGGTGCCAGATATGTGCAATAAACATTAGTTCACGGGCTGAGTTTTCGAGACTCTTGCTAGTCAAGCATGAGTCTGTCTGCCTAATACTTACATGCCTCCTTCATCCCACCCCTTGTATGAAATGAGCTTCAGGTCTTCATTCTCCCTTCACATTTCCTTCCTCTTAACACTCCCAACTGCCAAGACCCTGATCACATAACAGTCATACAATCTATTTCCATTAAGAATCTGGGTGCTACCCAAAAGGAGTGAGAGAACAAAAGGGAGTGCCCTGCCACAGAGGCAGGGTGGGATGGGGGATGGAGGGTAGGAGGTGGGAGGGATACTGGGATTAGTGGTAGTGGAGAATGGGCACTGGTGGAGGGATGGGTACTCGATCATTGTATAACTGAAACCCAAGCACAAAAATTTGTAAGTCTCCAACTGTACCTCATGGTGTTTCACTAACAAAAATTGAAAAAAAAAATTAAGATAAAAAAAAAAACCCTGGGTGCTATAGACTCCCAATTGAATCCCCAAATGGATTTGCACCCTACAGAGATGTCTCTGGACCCCAACCATTTACAATTTTAGAATTTCAGCAGCCGCATGACCTCATGATCTTTAAAGTGAGCAATAGAAAATAAATTATCTAGAGTCTGCCCCTGGCAGGCAGGTTTGAATTGTGGTGGGAAAATTCGAGCAAACCATAATGCTCAAAAGTAGAGAGAGAGTATCGGGGAAACTGTCTGCAGGGGGAGGACTGGGATGGGGGGGTGAGATACTGGGGACATTGGTGGTGGGATATGTGCACTGGTGGAGGGATGGGTGCTCAGTCATTGTAAGACTGAAACTCAAACATGAAAGCTTTGTAACTGTATCTCACAGTGACTCAACTAAAAAAAAAAAAGAATCTGGGTACTGGGGCTAGAGAGAACATCCAGCAGGTGGGACACTTGTCTTGTGGCATTTATTTGTGCCCTCAGCCCATCACCCTATAGGATCCCTGAGCACCATCCAGAGTGATTCCTGAGCACAGAGCTAAGAGCACGCCTTGAGCACTGTTGAGTGTGGCCCAAAACCAAAAGAAAAAAAATTAAACATCTGGATAGTGGGCCTGAGAGACTGTACTGCTGGGAAGACTAGCCTGGCAAGCGGCCCACCAGAGTTCAATCCCCGGCCCCACATCTGCTCTCCTGAGCTTCGCCAAGAATGATCCCTGAACACAGAGCCAGGAGTAAGCCCTGAGCACTGCTGGGGTTTGATGGTCCCAAAAACAAAAAAGAAAAAGGAAAGAATAGGTGTCGTGGGCCAGGAGAGAGAGGACAGAGGCTTAAGTGCTTGCTTGGCATGTCCCAGACCTCAGCTCTATATCCCTGGCACTGCATCTAGTCCACTGAACACTTCCAGGAGTTGTCCCTGAGCACAGAAGCAGGAGTGAGCCCTGAGCAACTGGGGGTATGATCCAACCCCCCCCTTTACAAAACACAGAATCTAGAGAGTGTGTAAAATCACACCAAACCCCTCATGCCGCCACTCTTAGAAAGGAAATTCTAGTGGCTGGAGCGATAGCAGAGCGGGTAGAGTGTTTGCCTTGCATGTGGCTGGCCTGGGGTTCGATTCCCAGCATCCCATATGGTCCCCAAGCACCGCCAGGACTAATTCCTGAGTGCATGAGCCAGGAATAACCCTTGTGCAATGCTGGGTGTGACCCAAAAAGCAAAAAAAAAGAGGGGGGGATTCTAGCCTTGAAATTGTGTCAGTCTTTGGTGGCATTTGGGGGGCCTTTGCTCTGTCCGTGGGGATTGACAAGAGGTTCCATGGGTAGAAGTTGGCCAGTGGGATCCAGCCTTGCCTCCCCCGGGGAGTGTAAGTTGGGAGAGGTATGGTGGGTGGCCAGCAAGACCAGTCCCGGGATCTCCTGTCCACTAGGCACCCCGAGGAGGCCCTCGGCTTCTCTCTGCCTTAGTTTCCTGCTTTGTGAAACAGCCCGCCCACCTCTCAGAGAAGAGTGGGTCAGGTCCCTGGGCCGGGAGTAGGTGGCCAGTAAGCACCTGTTAAACTGCTAACAGGCGAAGGAAGTCTCCAGAAAACGCCCACTAACTGACCTGGCAGAGGGGGCGTGGCCCGCAGAAGGTGCCGCGATTCCAGGGCAAGGTCAGCCCCGCCCCGGGTTAATAGCACAGGCGGAAGTGAGTGCCCAGAGTCCCTCGCAGCCTGGGCCTCAGCGGGTGCCCGGGGAGCCCGAGCTCAGGCCTCAGCAGCTGCCCAGCCTGCAACTTTCCCCTGGACGGTGGGAGAGGGACTCGGGTGGCAGGCCCGCGTCGAGAGCAGAGCCACTGAGCGCTGTCAGGGCGGGGACCCCGAGACCCCGGGACCCCTCCTCACTGCCTTCCTAGGAGGTCAGTTGCCCTCCCTTGGGCAGACGTTGGCTGGCTTGGCTGTGACCTTCTTATCAGGTAACCTCAGGACTCCAAACACAGGCCGAGGAGCTGGGGGCTGGGACTGGGCGCAGGAGACAGACGGGAGAGGTGGCCTTTGTGACCCTGGCTTTTGCTTTTCTCTGGGCAGGCAGGAGTTTGGGGATGAAGATGAGAGAGGCCGGAGAGGTGGTCCAGCGAGGGCGGGGAGTCGCACCTGCCCGCCCCACCCACTCGCTGGCCCACTGAGACCGCCCTTGGCGCCAGGAGGTGACAGGGGTGTGACTGACTGGGTCCGTCTCCGCTGGGCACCCACGGCCCATCTCTCACCCTGGATCCTGCACAGATTTGTCTCTTCCGCTTCCTTTGCTGCCAGATCTGGGGAGGTGGGGAGGGCTCAGACCGACCCCAAGGGTCACCCGACTCTCTTTGTGGTTGAGAAACCAGCAACCGAGCTCAGCCTGGCCAGCCACAGTGTCCAGAGAGGCACCAGCCGGCACATGACCCGCCCAGTGTAAAGTTTCTGTGGGCAGCCAATGTCGTGCCAGCTCTGCGAGTGTCCCATCAAGTTGGGGACATTCTCGTGTAAAGCGGTGACAACTTCCTTTGGGTCTGGCTGCCCTGTGTGGTGTAAGGGAGCCCGGTGATCCTGCATTCGGTCCTAGCTCAGGGTGTGCAGGTCACCCCCGCTCGCCACAAGGAGCAGGTTCCTGTGAAATGCAAAGATGCCATCACCACTGATGGGGAAGGTCTGGAGTGTTCCAGACTGTCTGGAGTCAGGCTGGGCTGAGGAGAGAGCCTGGTCACCGCGCCCAGGGTGGGGAGCTGCTCGGGTCAGAGAGATGTGCTCACTGGCTCTGCTGAAAGGGAAACCCTCAGGGCCAGGGGAGTGGATTGCAGGAAAGGTGCCGGCCTGCACACAGCTGACCTGGGTTCGAGTCCCGGAACCCTGTAGGGGTCTGCCAAGCGTGCCAGGAGTGATCCTTGGGCACAGATCCAGGAGTTAGCTGTGAGCACTGCCCAGTGTGGCCCAAAAACAAAACTAAAAAATAGGAAGGAAGGAAGGAAGGAAGGAAGGAAGGAAGGAAGGAAGGGTGGGAGAGAGGGAAAGAAGAGCAAGGAAGGAAGGAGGAGGAGAGAAAAGGAAGGGAGAAAGGATGGTAAGAAGGAAGGAAGGAAGGAAGGAAGGAAGGAAGGAAGGAAGGAAAGAAGGGTGGGAGGGAGGGCGGGAAGGAGGGAGAGAGAGAGAGAGAGAAAGAGAGAGAGAGAGAGAGAGAGAGAGAGAGAAAGAGGGAAATTCTGGATCTTAATTAGCCCATCCAGGCCCTCATGGTCTTTTGTAAACGCTGTGAGTCCTGCTGGGGGCCCTCAGATGTGGGGGATACCTGTAAGACCCCTCTCACAGCCTTCAAAACCCATCCCTCAAGAACCCCACGGGACTGGAGCCATAGGACAGCAGGCCGGGTTCTTGCCTTGCAAGCAGCGAACTGGTTCCAACCCCAGTACCCCATACGGCCCTCGAAGCCCACCAGGAGTGATCCCTGAGCACAGAGAAGCATGAACTCTTGAGTACTGCGGAGTGTGGCGTCCCCTAAAAGAACCCCGTCCACAATCTCCCCCCGGCCACTCGCTCAGGGCCCCAGAGTCCATCCAGCTGCCTAAACTCCTCTCTTTGTCTGGTGAGGCATCAGCCCTTGAACGCGGCTGTGGTCCACCCCTCCCGGCTCTGCCATCCTGGGGAACCCCCATCCTGTACCCAGCGCAGGCGCCTGGCTTCCCACCTGGCCCGGGGCTTGTGACTCTGGGCTGAGCGTGGCCGTGTCCTTGCAGGCCTGCCATGTGCACCGCGGGCCTGAGTGACCTGGAAGAGATCCCGCTGGACGACGATGACTCCGGGAGCATCGAGTTCCAGATCTTGGCTTACTACGTCAAACACCACGTCTTCAAAAACCACGCTACTCTCTTCTCGCCCAAACGGTCAAGGACGCGCAGCTTGTCCCAGAAAGGGCTGGGGGGCTGGACAGCCAGCGACCCGTGGCCCCCACTGCCGTGGGCCAGTAGACAATCCTCGCCCGGCGAACAGACCATCAACCTCACCAAGAAAAAGTCTTCTTGGAGAACGCTCTTCGGCGTCACGGAGAAGGAAGAGTCCCCAACCCTTCGGGAGGGCAATGAAAGCCCCCAAGTAGAGAAGTGCGCGGCTGGACCCCCTGGACGTCAGTGGACCCGGTCCCTCTCCAGCGTGGACCAGCGTGTGGAGCTCAAAGGTAGGTGGTTTCCGGGGACACGCGCCTGCTCCCTCCCCTGGGTCTCCCTCTGGGCTCACATCCACCTGGGCCTGACACCCCATGTGCCCTCGTGTCCCCCAACTTAGCAGTACTGAAAATTACCTTGTTGTTTTGTTTGCGGGGCCATATCCAGCTCATGTGCTCAGGGCTTACTCCTGACCCAGTGCTCAGAGATCACCCCCCCCCACCCCGGGGAGCTGGGGGTCAGCCCCATGCAGGGCAAGTGCCCAGACCGTCTCTCTAGTCCCTGGCCTGCCTTTTGTTTTGGTTTGCTTTCTCTCCTCCAAGACTGGGCAGAAAGATGAGCCAGCAGGATTTGCCTCCTAGTCTCTAAATACATTTTCTGAGGTGGGGAGAGATGGCGGGGTTAAGCACACACTTGGCCTATGGCCCAGGTTTGGTCCCTGGCACTGCCTGGTCCCCTGAATACCACCAGGTATGGGCCCCAAAACCAAAAATCCTAATTAAAAAGATAAGTGCATCTGCTTCTCAGACACTACGACAAAGGTCAGACCCCTACACACATGCACTTCCGTCTTTGGGTTTCCACCCGAATTTAGTGTCTCATGCACATGCGTCCTCCCTTTTCAAGTTAGAAAGCACTCCACCAAAGCAGCCGAGAGCCTGTGGGGTACCTCACAGCTTGCCCAGCCTCTGAGAGACTTTTCTTCATCCTTCCAGTCCTTGCTACCAAGGACAGGTTCCCGTGGGGCAATACCCTGAAATAGCCAACAGGTGGCAGTAGTGCTCTGCTTTTTAAATGTGATGCCTGAGCTGGCTTGGGGGCTGGGGGGCCTGCGGTGCTGGGACGGGAATTTGCACCACCAGAGACAGTTTTCCAGTCTTCCCTGTTTTTCTTTTTTTTTTTTAATTTTCTTTTTGGGTCACACCTGGCGGTGCTGCTCAGGGGTTACTCCTGGCTTTGCACTCAGGAATTACTCCTGGCGGTGCTCAGGGGACCATATGGAATGCTGGGATTCGAACCCGGGTTGGCCGCGTGCAAGGCAAACGCCCTACCCGCTGTGCAATCACTCCAACCCTTCCCTGTCTTTCTGAGGGATGAGCCATACCCAGCAGTGCTCAGGGCTGACTCCTGGTTCTCCATTCAGGGATCACTCCCTGTGGGGCTCTGGGGGCCCTATGGGGTGCTGGGGATCAAGTCCTGGTTGGCTGCTTGCAAGGCAAGCACCCTGCCCGCTGTACCATCACCCCAGCCCCGGCCCTCCCCACCTTTAGTGAAACAACCGTGCCTCACCTAAGAATTTTCCAGAAGGAACAGCTATGGTCAGGATATTACCTGTCTCCCTGGAAAGCAGGGACTGAGCTGGGAGCCCCCCCCGCTCCCCCCCCCCCCGTGCTGATCTTTGGACTTGGCCAGGGACAGAGACTAGCAGCATCTCACCCTGGGTCCTGCCTAAGACTAGCGACGCTCAGGACACTGGTGTGGGGAGTTTATTTTGCTTTAGACAATCTTTCTTTTGATTAGGGGCTAAACCCAGCAGTGTTCAAGGCTTACTCATGATCAGGGCTCACTTTTGCTGGGTCTTGGGGGACCATAGGACATGCTGGGGATAAAACTTGGGTGGGCAGAGTGCAAGCCAAGTCCCTTACCTGCTGTGCTATCACTCCAGGTCCTGGCAGTTATTTATTTCTGCCCCTCTCCAAGAGCCCGGCAAGCTACCGAGAGTATCTGCCCGCAAGGCAGAGCCTGGCAAGCTCCCCGTGAAGTATTCGATATGCCAAACACAGTAACAACAAAGTCTCCAATGGAGACGTTACTGGGTCCGCTCGAGCAAATCGACAAACAACGGGAGGGCCTTTACCTTTACCTTTATTTATTTTCATTTCAAGAGAAGCTACTGAAGGTGGGGGGGGGCATATTTTTACATGAAATTGAGAATGAGGATTAAATTTTTAAAAAATAGGCAGCGAGATAGTACAGCAGTAAAGGCACATGAGCCTGCCACCTGGGTTTTATTCCCTGCACCACCCCCAAGCATCCTGGGGTACATCCCTGCAGGCCCCCAGCACAGCCCAGGCGGTCCCAGTATCCCCGGCACCGCCAGGTCCAAGCAGCGCCGCATCCTTGGGCCTCACACTCAACCGCCAGCTGGTTGGGGCTCAGTGTCAAAGGGTCACTTGGGGGTCACCACAGTCAGTTGATTATAAAAACATGTAGCTGGTAGGCTCCCACTTCCAAGCTAAACACACCACATAGGTTCCCCTGTCGGCCAAGCCTTTCCCGAAGGAGGGAAAAAGCAGTTCTGAGTCCAACCCTTAGAAGTCATCACACACAGGCACAGAAGAGCCAGAGAGCCTTGCGCCATGCAGGAAGGTCTGGGAAGGAGCCCGATTGCCGCCTTACTCAACGGCCTGTGCCCTTTTCTTCCTTCCTTCCTTCCTTCCTTCCTTCCTTCCTTCCTTCCTTCCTCCCTCCCTCCCTCCCTCCTTCCTTCCTCTCTCCTTCCCACCCTCCTTCCCTCCCTCCTTCCTTCCTTCCCTCCCTCCCTCCTTCCTTCCTTCCTTCCTTCCTTCCTTCCTTCCTCCCTCCCTCCCACCTTCCCTTCCTTCCCTCCCTCCCTACCTCCCTCCCTCCTCCTTCCTTCCTTCCTTCCTTCCTTCCTTCCTTCCTTCCTTCCTTCTTTCCTTCCCTCCCTCCTTCCCTTCCTTCCTTCCCTCCTTCCTTCCTTCCCTCCCTCTCTTCCTTCCACCTTCCTTCCTTCTCTTCTTCCTTCCTTCCCTCCCTCCTTCCTTCCTTTCCTCTCCATTTTCAGGGCACACCAAGGAGTGCTTAGGGATTTGATGCTGAGTATCAAATTTGATGCTGAGTATCTGTGCCTGCAATTATTGATAAATAAATGCACATAGCTATTTATTCTGTAATAGCTTCTCCCACCCCTGTTTGCTTCTTTGGGGGTCTGCACTGCTGGTGCTTAGGGACTACTCCCAATGCATTGCAGTGCTGGGGGAGTTTGTGGTACTGAGATCGGGCCGCCCCACTCACCCCTGGAGCTCTCTCTCCTCAGCCCTCTGCACTCTTGTGGACTCTTGGTGGTGAAAGCCCAAATCTTCTTCGGATTTCTTTCCACGATCAAAAGCAAGTCCCCGCGTAGGTCTTTCAAAGGCAGGGGCTGCCCGGCTCAGCTCTAGGCTCTGTGCTTTGCCTCCCCTTCTCGCCTCCCTCTCCCCTTGCTTCCTTGCCTCCTCAGGTGGGTGGTTCCTAGCTGTGCGGCCTCTCTTTCTACTTCCATCTCGCCCTAGATGAAGCAGAGCTTAGCAGCTGCCTTCACTTGGTCCTTTCGACTAAAGGCCATGATTTAGCACAAACCACCATTTCCAGCACTCAGATACTGTAAGTTCACTGAGAACAATGAGGTTCTGTCCCAAGACCAAATCTATTTGTTTTTTATGTTTTGTGTGTGTGTGTGTTTTTTTTTTAATTTTTATTAGTGAGACACCATGAGGTACAGTTGTAGACTTACAAATTTTTGTGCTTGGGTTTCAATTATACAATGATCAAATACCCATCCCTCCACCAGTGCCCATCCTCCACCACCACGGGTCCCAGCATCCCTCCCACCCCCTACCCCCTCCATCCCACCCTGCCTCTGTGGCAGGGCATTCCCCCTTGTTCTCTCTCCCTCCTTTTGGGTGTTGTGGTTTGCAAAAGATGCATTGAGTGGCAATCATGTTTGGTCAATAGTCTACTTTCAGCATGCTTCTCCCATCCTGGGAGGATCCTCCCAACACCCTTTATTTGGTGCTCCCTTCTCTATCTGAGCTGCCTTTTTCCCAAGCATGTGTGGCTCACCTCCAAGCCATGGAGCAAAATTCCTGATACTAATCTCAGCCATTCTTGGGTGTTAGTCTCCTATTTTGTTACTTTATGTTCCCCAGACGAATGCAGTCTTTCTATGTCTATCCCTCTCTTTCTGATTCATTTCTCTTAACATGATACTTTCCATGTAGTACCACTTGTATGTCAATTTCATGACTTCATCTTTTCTAACAGCTACATAGTACTCCATTGTGTAGATGTACCAAAGTTTCTTTAACCAGTCCTCTGTTCCAGATTCTAGCTATTGTAAACAGTGCTGCAATGAACAAACAAGTGCAGATGTCACTTCGACTGTACTTGTTTGCCTCTCTGGGATATATTCCCAGGAGTGGTATTGCTGGGTCAAATGTTTTGGTTTTTTGAAATATTTATTTCCCCGGTAACGCAACGTCCCAGCAAGACATCTCTCTCCTCACCCCCAACGCCTAACTCCATCCATGACCAAGGGCAGACCTGATTGCTCCTTCAGTAGGGGCCACCTGCAGTGGGAGGAAAGGTGGGGGAGCACTCTGGCTCATGCTAAGGGCCTCCGGGGGCCCTACGGGGCAGTGCTGGGAACGGGGGACGTGATGCAGAAATGGGGCGCAAACTCCGTGCCTCGAGAATGCAAAACATGCGTCTAGCCTTGAGACACATCCCTGACCCAAACCCACCTGGGTTTTCTCAGTCTACATCATTTAAGGGTCCAAAGAGAGGTGCTATCTCCCCCCCCCCCCCCCCCCCCCCCCCCCCCCCGAATGCTGATTCAGTCATTTAGCTCTGCAGTGGAACTCTCGGCCCTTGTCAAGTGTTTGTGGAGGCTGAGTACCCTGTGATATGCTGGCTCACCCACCAGCGTTCACAGAGCTCCCAGTGGGCGTGTCCTGTGACCTGACTCACCTATCAGCGCTCACAGAGCTCCCAGTGGGCGTGCCCTGTGGCCTGATAGCTCACCTATCAGCATTCACGGAGCTCCCAGTGGGTGTGTCCTGTGACTTGACTCACCTATCAGCATTCTCGGAGCTCCCAGTGGACGTGCCCTGTGGCCTGCAGCTCACCTATCAGCGTTCACGAAGCTCCCAGTGGGCGTGCCCTGTGGCCTGATAGCTCAAGCTCCCAGTGGGTGTGCCGTGTGACTTGACTCACCTATCAGCGTTCTCGGAGCTCCCAGTGGGCGTGGCTGGCGAGGCCACACGTGACCCTCCAGCCAGTGAGTGGCACTTAGGGGCCCTGGTAAGGGGGGCTTGAGTGACGCCTGCCATGGGAGCAAGCCCGGACAGTTCTGCTCCCTCCGTGACAACCCCCAAAGGCTTATCAGATGCCTGAAAGCCCGTCTCTGAGGTCCTCCAATGCGCAAAAGTTGTCCCCAAAAAATAAAGAATAAAAACAAAAGCCTAATGAGCGCTCCCTTAAGCAAGAGCCCAGCCTCCCTTTTCTAGTTTGGGGACCCGCATTCTGCAAGGCTTCAAAAAGAGGGCGCCGAGGGGCGACTGTGTAGGGGTGGCAGTCGTGCCCTGTGCCCTGCCAGGCGACTGGCTCCCGGGGGCCCTTTGAGGAAGGGACCTCCCGCCCGCGCCTCCTACCTGGACCCCACGCGAGCACCAACGGGCCAGCGTGCAGCTGCCTCTTCTCTTTTCCCAGCTGTGGACCCCAAAGTGGTCTCCGTCGCCAACCGCGTGGCCGAGATCGTTTACTCCTGGCCACCCCCCGAAGAGCTCATCCTCCAGCGACCTGCCCCGGGGGGCCAAAGGGAACTTCCTGCAGCAGGTGTTCTACGCACAGGGACCGACCACCTCAACCCGCAGCACCAGTGCCAAGAAAGGTAAGGATGCGCCGCGCCAAGGAGCCCTCCCTACCCCAGTTGGAGCCGGGGACACTGGGCAGCCCTGCGTTGGGGTGGGGATGCGCAGAGCTGACCAAACCCCCAGCAGATTGCAGCTACTTGGCCAAGCTCCCTGCTGAGTCCGAAGGGCAAGTCCACACTGCAGGCGAGGTGGGGGAGGGATCTTGCCCTCCCTCTAGGGTGCCTGGAGCTCCCCACCCATTCAGCCCCCTGGGAAAGGGGTGCTGCCCGACCAGGGAGAGTTGGTTGGGGCCACAAAAGTGTCAGCCTGAGAGGGCTGGAGGGAGGAGGTGCCTGGGCTTCTGCTGGGTGTGGGCTGAGGCCCGGCCTCCGTTCCCGCTGCCCTGAGCCTCTGGAGCCCCCTTCTTGGGGGCCAAGGCCTCACAGACCACGGAGGGTTCCCTGGGGACCCCAGTCTTCCACCCCCCCCCCCCCCCACCGCATCCTGCCTTCCCCTTTACTAGCCCTCCGGGGCCTGTTCCTGGCTGGCCGGACAGGAGGGCCTGGCCTGTGCTCTAAGAGGGTGTGTGTGTGGGTTGGGGGGGGGAGAGGGCAATCTCTGTCCCTGGCTTCTCTTGAGTCTCTGGAACCGTTTCCACCCCCTTGTAAGTTTTGAGGATGTGGCTTAGAGTCAAGCCAACGACCTCGGGCTGGAGCCCTAGCGCAGGTGGGGAGAGCACTTGCTTGGCTCGGGGTGATTCGGGTTCAAGCCCCAGCATGCCGTGTGGTCCTGTGAGCACCTCCAGGAGTAAGCCCCGAGCACAGCTGCCCAAGCCACCCCCCAAAGTGCACACGCCTTGTCGGTGTGGGGTCTGGTTCCATCTCTAGTGGTGCCCCCACCCCTCATAGAGCCAAAGAAGAGTGTTCCTAAGTTTGAGACAGAAGAACTCTGCTTCTGCTGATCGTCCCACAAGCCACACACAGGCCCATGTCCACCCCGTGCTTGCCAGGGACGGGGGAGGATATTTGGCTTTTTTTTTTTTCTTTTTTCTTTTTGGGTCACACCCAGCGATGCACAGGAGTTACTCCTGGCTCTGCACTCGGGAACTACATGGGATGCTGGGAATCGAACCCGGGTCGGCCACGTGCTAGGCAAACGCCCTACCCGCTGTGCTAGCGCACCGGCCCTATTGGCTGTTTCTTGCTTGCGCTGCACTTCTTGTCAAGACGTGACATGCAGAGTGTTCATTTCAACGTGCTCTGGCCAGTGAGGGCGCGCCCCAAGGCAGGCCAGTTCCTTAGATCTCCCTGGAGAGGGAAGGCACAGATCAGCCTCTTTGCATCCTCCCCCACCCAGACCAGCTTTCTGTCCATGCTGATATTGCAAGTAGTGGCCCCGGATCGGATCTGACACTGCCAGCATAGCTGTCCCTGGCGCTCAGCCTCTTCACGCCTTCCTGGGAATCCCACTGCACCCCCAGCATCGATGACAGACAGCTGAGCAGCCAGGACTGAGGGTCCCGCTCTGTTGCGGATGGTGGCTGGGCCTGGTCTCACTGCAAAGCCACGGTGCAGAGGCTCCTGGCCCTGGCTCTCAACTTCCATCCCCCACCCCACCCCCACCCCCGCTTGTTTTTCCTTCTTCGTTTTGGAGGTGGGGATGGAAGCCAGGACCTCAGGCCTGTGAAGCATGCGCTCTAATTTCCGAGCCACGCCCCAGGGCCCCGGGGCTTCCTAGTGGCTAATAACAACGGAAACGTGATCCAATATACGGGATTTGTGTCGTCTGTCTGGAAAAAGCCCCCTGTTTAGGGAAAGCCGAAAGACCAGAGAGGAATGCTGCTCAGTCTCCTCTGGGAATGGACCGTGGAGAGCAGAACTAACGTGCCCGCAGCTTTCTTACCGTAAACGGAGTGACCGAGTTCACAGTGAGAGCTGGAGGCCCGAGGGAGAAGGGGGGAGGGGAAGAAGGAGAGATTCTGGGATAATTTCTGCCTGACAGAAGACGCCAGGCACGATTTCATTTGCTCTACGCATTGCAAAGCATTTCCCCCTCGGTCAGTCACAAGTACTATCCCTAGAAATTTTTGAGGGTTTTCCCCCCCTTAATATACATAATTGGGGGACTGGAGCAATAGCACAGCGGGTAGGGCATTTGCCTTGCACGTGGCCCGACCCGGGTTCGATTCCCAGCATCCCATACAGTCCCCCGAGCACCGCCAGGAGTAATTCCTGAGTGCAATGCCAGGAGTAACCCCTGTGCATTGCCGGGTGTGACCCAAAAAGCAAAAAAGAAAAAGAGTGTATGTACGTATGAGAGTGTGTGTACGTGTGACTGTGCGTGCGAGACTGTAAAATAAATAAATAAATAATTGGAATTTCCCCCCTGACAGATGGAGAAGACCAGGCAATTGCCAAAATCGTCGAGCTGTTGAAATATTCAGGGGATCAGCTGGAGAGAGAGGTAGGGGGCTTCTCAAGCTCAGATGGTCTCCCCCCATGCCCACACGTGGGGAGGTGGGGACCCGGGGCCAGATTTGTACCCCAGAATGCAGCCCTCGTGCTGTGCAGAGAGGTCTGCCTCCCCCTTACTCCTGAGTTTTATTTCCTTTGGAGTCCCACTGCTTCGTTCTGGCAGCCGCTCAGAAATGAATCACTCTGGAAAAACATAAGTGAGCCTTCTGGAACCTTGCTGGAATTCTTGGGAAATGAAAAAAAAAAGTAACTTTGTTATTGCAAGAAATAGACACCAATAAATTAAAATGTGCTGGATAGAATTCCGAACCTCCTCCCCCAGGTAACCGATCCGACGGGCAGTGAAGTGCAGGCAGGTGCTGGTCTTTGCCCCGAAGCCTGGACAACCCGCTCACAGCAGCCCCGGGCCACGAGCCTTTCGGGGACCCCCTCACAGAGCTGCCAAGATTTCTGATTCTGATTTCTGATTTTGGCCCAGAATCTCTCTGGTCAGCGAGGCAGATGGGTGTTAACGGCAGAACGTTGGGTCCCCTCTCCTGCCTCGGGGAAAGGCAGTCGTTTCAATCAAAAAAGTAGGCGAGGTGGCCAGAGCGATAGTACCCCAGGCAGGGCGCCCGCCTTGCACACAGCTGACTCATGTTAAACCTCCGGCACCACATGTGGTCACTGAGCCCCTCCAGGCGTGGTCCCTGAGCACAGAGCCAGGAGTAACAGGTGTGGTGCCCAAACCAAATAAATACTGGGACTGGAGCAATAGCACAGCGGGTAGGGCGTTTGCCTTGCACGCAGCCGACCTAGGTTCGATTCCCAGCATCCCACATGGTCCCCCCAAGCACTGCCAGGAGTAATTCCTGAGTGCAAGAACCAGGAGTAACTCCTGTGCGTCGCCGGGTGTGACCCAAAAAGCAAAAAAACAAAAAACAAAAATAAATAAATACTGAAGTAGGGAAGAGCTGGAGAGATCGTACAGACCGGACCTTGGTTTAGCCCTCCAGCGCCCCCAAGGGTTGATCTGAGCACAGAGCCAAGGAGCCCCTGAGCACTGCTTGGGTGTGTGGCCCAGACCTTCTCCTAGGCCTGAAGGGACGTAGGAGAGTCCTTGCGCTGCCACCATCTGACCCTCGGCTGGTCCAGGTGTGTGACCCACACCGTTGGGGGCAGTTCTTAGGTCTGCCAGCAGGGGCGCTAAGTGCTTGGCACCCAAGGCTGGCGTCTGGGGGTGAAGGCAGAGAATGTGGGGATTCCATGCTCCTAAGAAAAGATGGGCGGGTGGGAGCACTGTGCAGGGAGCAGGGGGAGAAGAGCGGCAGTTTGGCAAGATGAAGGCCTCCCTGTGTGTCTCCAGGACTTGCAGCATTTTGGTTCTGTGTCTGGGACAGCTCAGGCATGGGGTGGGCCACAGTCTGCCTCGGGGAGAATGAGTGGGCCAGCACCTGGATTCCGGGGAGAGCCAGGCACCAGTGGTGGATTCCGCGTGGACCTGGATTCTGCTCAGCTTAGAGGTTCTGGGGCTCTCAGCACCCTTCCCCCAGCCCCGGCACCCCATGTGCGGGAGGCAGCCCGGGCCTGCCCGGATGGCAGCACTCACACTCCTGGACTCCATCAGGATGGTCGGAGCCGTTCTGAGACAGTGACCATGAGGACACCCCGGCCCATCCCCAGAGCACCTGCCGGCAACTCTGGTGGCCCAGAACCGGCCTTGCTCGGGGGAATCAGGCGGTGCCAGGGCTCGACCCCTGGGTACCCCCCGGCCTCTGCGCCAGCCCCCTGAGATGCTGCCGGGTCCTGGGTCCAACTTCATCCATGAAGTCATGGGTGGAGGGGTGTCCCTTCCTGCTGTGTCCCTTTGGTCATTCCCACTCCAGGTGAGTCTACAGATGGACCCCCAAGATTTAGGAAGTTGGGGATGCCCCAGGCTCTGGTTTTGCTCCTGACTTTCCCCCAGAAGTTCCGCTTCACCCACAGTCGCCACGAGACCCCGTCACCTCGTCCATCCTCTTCCTCGAGGCCCGACTAGGGTTTTTGTTGTTGTTGTTGTTTTGTTTTGTTTTTCTTTTTGGGTCACACCTGGCGGTGTGCAGGTGTTACTCCTGGCTCATGCTCTCAGGAATTACTCCTGGCAGTGCTCGGGGGACCCTACGGGATGCTGGGAATTGAACCCGGGTCAGCTGCGTGCAAGGCAAACACCCTACCTACTCTCCAGCCCCAACTAAGGGGTCTTCAGAGGGGCGTTAGGTCCCCGCTCCCACCGCGTGTCTTTGCACCTGCAGACTTGGCCGGGCTGGGATCACGCACCCCAGCACCTGCTGAGGTCAGGGGATGCTCTGAGGCCCAGAGGGGCAAGAGCAGAGACGCATCGCAAGAGGGGATAGGAGGTAAAGTAGATCAGGACGCCCCGTGGGAGGGAATCAGGGGAGTAAAGGGTGCTGGGATTACGGCGGGGCTCTTAAGCAGTGCCCCCCACCCCCACCAGAGCCACCCCGGGAGAGTCTCAGCCAGCCTGGCTGGAGTTTGAGTCCTTGCGTGGAGGACACTGGGGACGCAGCTCTGTGGCAGAGTGCTCGCCTCTCACGGGTGAGGCCCAGGGTTCGATCCCCAGCACTGCAAAAGCTACGATGACAACGTGTCTGGCTCTGTGCAGCGTGGTGGGGAAGCACAGTGTGCAGCGCCCTCCAATGCTCGGGGGTTCTGCTGGCATCTGCGCATGCCAAGCCCAGCTCCCTCCCTAAGCCACCTCCGCAGCCCGGTTAGGGGGCTATTTTGAAACCCGTGCTCTGGAATCACCCTGAAACACCACAGACCCCTTTTCCAGGGCGGGGGGGGGGGGGCAGGGGAGTCTCTATGGTAAACTCGCCTCACCCTGCCCTATGGGAGCACCATCCGGTTCCGAGAGGAAAGAAAGTAGGAGCCGAGGGGTGACGGCCTTTCCCCGGGGTGCCCTGCAGAGAGGAAGAGGCCTAGGGGTGTCACCGAGCGGCCTCTGGCTGCCCCTGAGGACAGGGCCTCTCGCAAAACATCCCACATGAGCCCCGCACAGAGCCCCAGAAAGGAGGGCTGGGGTCCCACGGGGCTTGCTCAGTGTCTGCTGAGGGTGCTCAGGGAGCACGGTCCCCAGTGCCAGTGACCGTCTTCACAGCAGCCCCGCCCACACATGTCCTTTGTCCACAGCTGAGGAAGGATAAGACTCTGATGAGCAGCTTCCAGGACGGGCTGACCTACACCCTCTTCAGGACCATCACAGACCAGTTCCTCAAGGGCGTGGACACCAGAGGCGAGTCCGAGGCCAAGGCCCAGAGCTTCCGGGCCGCGCTGGCCATCGACGTCATGACCAAGCTCACGGCTCTCGACACCCACCCCATGAGCCGGGTGCTGGGCTTCGGAGCCAAGTACCTGAAGGAGCACTTCTCGCCCTGGGTGCAGCAGCACGGCGGCTGGGTGAGTGCTCCCCACTCACTGACAGCAAGGGAGCACAGGGGCGGGGGGCCTCTGAGCACCGCCAGGAGGAGTGATCCCTGAGCGCAGGGCCATGAGTCAGTACTAAGTACTGCCAAGTGTGTCCCTCAAGAAATGCATAAATTAATGAGGGGATCAAAGCCATAGCACAGCGGGGAGGGCGTTCGCCTTGCATGCATCTGGCCTGGACTCGATCATCGGTGTCCCATGTGGTCCCCGGAGCACCACCAGGAGTGATCTCTGAGGGTAGAGCCTGAGCACCACAGGTGTGTAAGTCCTGAGTACCACAGGTGTAGTCCCAAATCATGATCACGATCACGACCATCCTGTTATTCGTCAATTGCCTCGAGCAGGCCCCAGTAACGTCTCCTTCGTCCTAGCCCTGAGATTTTTAAAAAAGTGCCATATTCCAGGCTCTTTCAGAGTTAGGAGAATGAGACCCTTCATTGTTACTGGTATTTGGCATATTGGGTATGCCACGGGGAGTTTGCCAGACTCTGCCATGTGGGCAGGTTACATTTGGTAGCTTGCCAGTTCGTCCAAAGTAGGAATGAGATGATAAGATGTCACGCGGCTGCATTTGCTGGGTTTTATAGTCTCTGGGTCTTGGCCGTTGATGGGATTACACGGCACCAGGGGGCAAGTTGGTGGGTGTGACCCCCGCCTACTGGAATTTGGAGGATCTGGCTGGAGGATGCTCAGCCCTGATCCGAGCAGGCTTGGAGATCTCAGCCCCGGGACCCGCATGCCTTTGTTCCTCTGCCAGTACCTTCATGTGTGCAGAAAGAGGTCTCAGCATGGTGGTGGCTGGTTCTGGAGGCTGCCGGAGCCCTGGTCGAGGCGGGGAGGGACACTCAACCCGTTCCCCTCCAAGGGGCCCCGGCAAGGACAGCCGGGCGCGGACAGAGTCTGCAGGAGACTCTGCAGTCCCAAATCAAAGAAAATAATTTTTGAAAATCTGGGTCTGGAGAGATACTACAGGGGTTCAGGCACTCGCCTGCACGTGCCCAACCCGACTTTGATCTTGGCCACACCCATGGACCCAAGCCAGGGGGGATCCCTAGTTCAAGCAGCCTCTGGGTGTTTCTTGGCTTGGCGTCCTCCATCCATCCTTTAATTGGTGGTCCTTCCAGGAGCACCTCACAGCCCTCCTCTACTCCAGGGTCCTTCCTGCTCCTCCCAGCACTTCCTGTCAACACTTCATTCCTAGACAGAACTCAAGTTACTGGACTCCTTCTTGGGTTTCCCCAGAGATGTAGCATCAGGGCGCTCAGACCAGGGCTCACACGGCTACTTCCCTCATCAGTGGAACAAAAATGCGGGCTCTGAACCAAGAGTCCAAGTGACCAAACACACACACACACACACACACACACACACACTCACACACACTCATACATACATTCACATGTATACATACTCATACACATACTCACATAGACTCACATATATACATACTCACACATGCACTCACACTCACATGTACACACATACTATACTCACATACACATACATATTCATACACCACATTTACACATATACACACACTCACACACACATACATTGATGTATGCAATCACATACACTCATATATAAACTCATACACCACATTCACACACATATGCACACACTCACACTCACACACACTCACATATACATACTCATAATCATACACACATTCACACATATATGCACTCACACACATACACACATATACACATGTATACATATCACACACACTCATACACTCACAGATACACACTCACACACATTAACTCACATACACACACGCACACACATGTGTGAACCTCAGGCCCTCTGCATGCAAAGCATGCCCTTGATCCTGGCTTCTTACTCTGCTCAGCCTTAAACATAGTTTGTGTTAAAGCCTTTGCCCATGGGGCTGCTTGCCTGGTGGTGGAGCTGGCAGGTCATGGTGCCCCGGTCACTTTTGCAAACCTTCCCCCAACCCAGACTTAGTCCCCAGGCTCCACTCACGCCCGGGAGGAAGGAGAAGGGATCGTGCTGTTCCCACGTCAGACACATGTGAACATTTAAGACTGTTCCTCTTCCCTCCACCTCCAGGAAAAAGTCTTTGGCGTAACCCAGGAGGAAGTGGACTGACCCTGGAGCCTGGGGAAGGAAGGCTATGGTCCAGCCCGGCTCCCATGGGCGTGCGTCTCGGGCCAACTGCAAAGAGCATGAAAGCGCGTAGGCAGGAGGAACGGAGTTCTCAAAACCCTTAATCCTGGGACTCCAGAAGATCCAGAGAAGGCCCGTGTCGTCTCGAGCTCGTCGAACACAGCGAGTGTGCGGCCTGCACGTGCCCGGGCCAGGCCCTCGGCTGAGCGGGCGTGTGGGGAAGGCCGCCCACGTGTCCAGACAGATCATCGTCCAGTCAGCCGCTGTTCCCCACGCCTGCTCACCTCATGCAGGAGAAGTGATAAACTGTGCATCCATTTACCCTTTGGTTCCTGGGGCTATTTCTTTCTTTTTCCTTTTGTTTTTAGGCCACACCCAGGGTGGTTTACGACTTACTCCTGGTGGGGTTCAGAGGACCACATGCAGTGCCAGGGGTTGAACTTGGCTCAACTTGTAGGAGTCAGGCACTGGACTCTCTGTGCTAGCTCTCTGGCCCGGAACATTTACTTTCTTAAACTGCATTTGGCATAACCTGAGAATGACCTTGTTTCAAGTCTGTACATGTGAGTTAGACACAGCTGAAGGAAACTTAAGTGTGCTGCAGGAACCACTGGGTTGGGGGATTGGGGAAGTTCCTGCCGTGTCTTCCCTTGGGAGTCACTTCCCTAATAATCCTTCGGCAACTTCAAAAGCCCCTTTGGGCAGTGAACAATTCCTCCTGCCACCTTCCTCACATTCCGTGAGCTCACTTCTCCTTCTCCAGGACCCTGGGATTCTCCGGTCATTGTTGGGGCTGTGCCATAATCAGCCGATGGTAGAATCCACACGTGGAAAGAGCACAGTCAAATGAGGATCCTAGAGCTCAAGTCAGTAACGCACAGTAGGGCAGGAATCTGCCTCTCCTCAAAGCAGACAGATTGCTTTCCTGGAATGGGCCTTGTAGATCACAGAGTGTTCTAGTGAATTAAGTATGGTCTGTAGTAAGTACTTAAAGCATGTATCAATTGAAAAAAACGCTATCAAATTGGAAGGTTTTTTTTGGTTTTTTTTTTTTTGCTTTTTGCTTTTTGGGTCACATTCAGCGATACTCAGAGGTTACTCCTGAATCACTCCTGGTGGGGCTCGGGGGACCATATGGGATACTGGGAATCGAACCCAGGTTGGCCGCATGTAAGGCAAACGCCCTACCCACTGTGCTACCGTTCCAGCTCCAGACTGGGGGGTTTTACAGATTCAGAGCCCTGGCACCTGGTGATGTAGCCTGATGTCAACAGGCGCTTAATAAGTGAATGAGCCAGACAGACAAGTCCTGCCCCTCCTCAACCACCACCGCGAGTTTCTCTCCTTCCTTCTCTTGCATGCCTCATGCCGTTCATCCACAGGGGTGCAGGATTCAGCTTCAGACTGGGGGAGCCAGCGTTTTTCTGTGACCCAACCATTGGAGTCACTCCTTCTGCCCTTCCCTTCCTCCCCACCCCCACCCCCCGCCCCAGCCTTCCTGTGATAGTTTCTCTCCCATTTTCCTGCTAATCTAACTCATCCCAGCCCACCCTTGCCAATGCACACCACTGCCTGCAGGTACGTTGGTGAGCCTTCCTTGGACCACTGAGGCCATATTTGATCCCCTCTCTTTATGAGATGTTCCACAACTCCCCACGGTCAGTGCACCAAAGAGATGACGCTGACGCCCCTCATTCAGATAGGCTAAACTCTGGGTGAACTAGCATCCTCTTGTACCTAACACCTGCCCTCTGCAGGTAAAGGCCCATGTGTAGGGAAGGCTACCCACGTGTCCAGACAGATCAACATCGAATTTCGCTTCGGTGGTGGATAGCACTGAACCCTCGGCAAAACGTACTTCTGGTCAAGTCCGAGAAAAAACAAGCTGAAAGGATTAACTGGTATCAAGTAATTTAGCTGCATTGAGCAACTTAGCTGTGTTCAAAACAAGCTCAGGCATTTTTCTTGGATTACAAAAGCCACTGGCGCCAACAAGAGGATTTTTACAGTATCTGACATTTAACAATTACAAGGCATGTTTTAAAAAACAGTAAAATGAATGTTTTTCTAAAAACATATGCACACCGTTATTCATTGCAGTACTCACTGCAGTAGCTGAGACTGGGAATCAACCTAGATGGCCAGTGGCAGATCAGTGGATGATGGAGGTGAGGAATATATGCACAATGGAATACCACACAGCTGCAAGGCATGATGAAATCATGCAATTTGCTGCAACATGGATGTAACTGGAAGACATCATGTTAAGTGCAGCAAATCAGAAGAAAGATAAACACAGAACGATATTACTTATATGTGGTATTTAGATAGCTGAAAGAGGAAATGCAATGTTTTTTTAAATTTTTGGGTCACACCTGGCTCATGCACTTGGGAATTACTCCTGGCGGTGCTCAGGGGACCATATGGGATGCTGGGAATTGAACCCGGGGTCGGCCGTGTGCAAGGCAAACACCCTACCCGCTGTGCTATCGCTCCAGCCCTGGGAATGCAATGTTTTAAATGGGGGATGTTCAGATCGACGTTGGCCCCAGGGAATAGGACAGAGAAGGAAAGAGAGAGTGGAGGGTAGAGGGAGAAGAGACAGATGAGAAACAACGCGGGCCAGGACAGGGGAGTCAGGCATACAGGTGGCGTTAAGGAGTGATGGAGCCAAATGTCCAAACCACAGAGTCAACAGCACTGAAGCAAGAGAACCAAACCTGAACGCCCAAACTTAGAAAGGTGCCTGTCAAGAGGGCAGATGGGTGGAGTCACTGTCACTGTCCTCCCGTTGTTCATCGATTTGCTTGACCGGGCCCAGTAACATCTCCAATGTGATACCTGTTACTGTGTTTGGCATATCAAATATATCACGGGCTTTGCTGTGCGGGTGAGATACTCTCGGTAGCTTGCTGGGCTCTCCTGAGAGGGGCGGAGGAATCGAACCTGGGTCGGCCAGGTCAGCCGCATGCAAGACAAACGTCCTACCCGCTGTACTATGGCTCCAGTAGGGGGGATAATTGGAGTGAAGCATGAACTTGGTGGAGGGAAGCAGACACTCGTGGTGCAATCGGGGCTGGAGTTATTTTATGTCTAAAACAACTATGGGGGCACAGCGGGTAGGGCATTTGCCTTGCATGCGGCTGACCCGGGTTCTATTCCCAGCATCCCATATGGCCCCCTGAGCACCGTCAGGAGTAACTCCTGAGTGCAGAGGCAGGAGTAAGCCCTGTGTGGCGCCAGGTGTGACACAAAAAGTAAAAAAAAAAAAACCATCACAGGAGACAACGGAGATGAGGAATCCATGTGGGTTGGCAGAAGCTGGAGGCACAGGACTGGGAAGGAAGAACTGATCTTGCTGAAGGTGCCCATCAGGGGGCACTTAAAGGAGGGAGGGCAGCATGAGGCACTGTGCGGAAGGGGTGAGCCCTGCTCCAGGACCAGCAAAGAGGCGCTGGCTCAGCTGCCCCCAGGCTGGCAGCTCCAGACAGCCCACGCTGGGGCTCTTGGCAAGGTCTGACCTCAGGGTGGGGGGGATAGGAGGGGAGGAAGTGAGGCTGCTCTTGGGTCTGTATTATAGCTAATAAAATGTGTCTTGGGGGTGGGGGCAATATAACTCAATAATTCAGTGTATTTCAATAAGCTGGAGAAAAGGTCAAACACCTGGGATTAGAATGGAACAATTGACGATTATTCTGGACTATCATTGCTCTGGCCCACCACAGTCTTTTGAGCTTTCTCCCTGGGCCCTCCGTGTCTGCTTTCTAGTCTGTTAGAGACTTCTTGCCTAGAAGTTTTAGACAAGAAACCTCTAACAGAGAGCTGAAGTAATGGTACAGTGGGGAGGGCACTTGCCTTGCACACGCCAACCCGGGGTTATCTTTGGAATCCCATATGGTTTCCAAGCCCCACCAGGAGTGATTCCTGAGTGCAGAGCCAGGGGTAACCCCTAAGCATTTCAAGGTGTGTCCCCTCCCCACAAAAACTCTAATAGATTAGAAAAAGTTACATGGAGGGGCCAGGGGGATTGCTCAAAAAGCTGGAGTGATCGGAGGACAGGACAGCAGGGAAGGTATTTGCCTTGTACACAAAGCCAATCTGGGTTCAATCCCTGCCACCCCATATGGTCCCCTGAGTGCTGCCAGGAGTGATTCCTCAGGGCAGAGCCAGGAGTAATCCCTGGGCATCGCAAAGTCATGGCCCCCAAACAAACAAAAGGCTGGAGCCCAGCAGGAGAACAAGGTTTGTTCTCGGGCCATGTGTTGTTTCCCAAGTACTATCAGAAGTATAACTCCACTTCTAGTTTGGGCCAAAATCAATTTTAAAAATCCACAACCATGAAACTAGATTAGCAACAGGATAGCTAAGACTTTATAGAGTACCACCTAAGGAAACTTGAAGACAATAATACACCTGAGTATTTTTGAAAACAGAAGATGGGGGTATTGGTGGAGACACACCACAGAACAACAGTGATATGTGCGATAACGTTCACGGGGCTAAGGTGCGTATCTGGAGTGAAAAGGAAACCCACAAACCCTAGGAACACAATCTCAAGCAAAAATAACAAAACAAATCTACACTAAAGCACAGTGTAAATTGCTCAAAAGCTGATTTTGAAAAAAAGCACTTGGGGGGTGGGGGAGGGGGAGAGAGAGAGAGAGAAGAGAGGAAGGAGGGTTGGAGAGCAGGGGGTTAGGTACTTCCCTGCATGCAGTAGACCCCAATTTCCTCAGCCCCACATGGTCTGAACACCACCAGGTGTGGGCCTGGAGTCTCCCTGTAGCCAGAGGTGGCCTGGGGTCCCCCATGCCTGGCTACATGTCACTGCAACCTCAGGTCCTAGCACTCCACCTTCAGCCTGGTAGGTTGAGAACTGCTGTGAGTGATCCCTCTACACCCTGCCTCCCCCCCAAAAAAAATGTAGCCACAGAAAGGCACATTGTCCAGAGAAATAAATAACACAGAAAATAAAATATATTATCAAAAAACACAGAAAATAAAATATCAAGAGAAAAAAAAAACCTGCCAATACAGAATTTTATATCCAACAAAAAATGTTTGTAGATGAAACCAAGACTATTTTTTTCATTTTCCTTTTGGTTTGCATTGACTCACTGTGAGAGACACAGTTACAAAGCTGTTCATGATTGGGTTTCAGTCATACACTGTTCTAACACCCATCCCTCCACCAGTGTACATTTCCCACCACCAATGTCCCGGTTCCCTTCTGCCACCAGGTATTCTCCCCCAGCTTTGGCAGGCACTTTCCCCCTCCCTCCCTCCCTCCCTCCCTCCCTCCCTCCCTCCCTCCTTCTTTCCCTCCCACACCAGCACTCTCTCTCTCTGCATTATGGTTTGCAACACAGAGAGGTTATGTTTGTTCCTTTACCTACTTTCAGCAAGCAGTTCTTACCCAGCGTGATCATTTCCAACTATCTTTGTCACAGCATTTTCAGACACACACAGCTGAATTTCTCATCAACAAAACTGAGCTACCATAAATGCTAAAGGAAGTACTAGCAAAAAGAAAACTACAGTTTTCTAATGGACGTCTGTACAGAAAAGACACTGAAACTGATAAATATGAGTAAAATACTTTCTCTGCAGGGAGTACGCAACGAGTGATGCTAGCTGCTCCTGAGTTTTGGGGTACTGGGAATTGAACCTGTGTCTCTAGTGCACATACATACACACACGCTGGCCCTTTGAGCTCTTTCCCTGGCCTTCACACACTTTTCAATTGAATCTCTTCAATCGATAATGGGCCACTTCAAAGAAAACCTATTGTGGCATTTATAGCATCTTGAAATAAGATTATGACAAGAATGATACTAGAAGACACCCAGGTGTAACTGTTAGGGACCATACATGAAATATAATTTCATGTAAAAATGTACATGCTGAATCTAAAAAAAAAAACAACACACGATAGCTACAGCTCGTAAGCTAACAAAAATGAGAAACCTGAATCATAAAAATTATTCAATTTTTGTGAAGTGACAAGCACAGTGGGTAAAGCATTTGCCTTGCACACAACCCACCTGGGTTTGATCCCCAGCATCCCATATAGTCCCCCAAGCACTGCTAGGAGTAATTTTTTACTTCAGAGCCAGGAATAACCCCTGAGCATCACCAGATGTGACCCAGAAACTCCCCCCCTCCACAATAATTCAATACAGGGGGCCAGGATTTAGGGTATAAGTGCTTTGCCTTGCATGCAGTCATGCTTTGACCCTCCCAGCACTACAGATGACCCCCAGAGCCCACCAGGAATGGCCCCTGTGCAGAATCAGGAACACTGACAGGTGTGATGCAAAAAAAAAAAAAAAAAGGAAAAGAAAAAAAAAACCCTCCAAAAACAAAAACAAAGAAAAACTCCAAACAGCCAATTCTCCTAACCAAATGAAAATAGAGGTTAATGCATGAGGCCAATCCTGGTTTGATCCCTGGCATCACATATGGTCTTCAAGCACCATGGGGAGTGGTCCCCAAGCAGAGAGCCCTGATTAGTTCTAGAGTACCACCTAGAGTACCATGGCAACCCTCCCTCCCCCCTTACCTCCTACCAAGACCTCCTCAAGAAAACAAAACAGGCATATCTATTTAATGAAACAATGAGTAATTGCAGTAAATGAAAATGGTTTGAACATCACAAAAGACTGGATTTATTTTTTGAGACATAGCTGTAAGCATCCTAGAAAAATCCAATTTAAATATAGACACTATTATGTCAAAAGCAAAATGGAGTGGGCAGAGATAGTACAGAGGTCACGACACTTGCCTTCCGCGTACACAATTTCAGTTCTACCCCCAATACCAGGTAGCCCCCCACTATCAAGTCCCTGGAATCCGCACCAGGAAATGATTACCTGAAATGACTCTTTCCAAGGAATATGTCGGGCCGGAGTGATAGTACAGTGGGTAGGGCATTTGCCTTGCACGCAGCAACCTGGGTTTGATCCCTGGCATCCCAAATGGTCCTGCTGCACTGCCAAGGAATAACTTGAGCATAAAAAGAAAAAAAAAGGAAAGTGGGGCTCAGGGTCTTCAGCATACCACCCAGTGATACGGGGGCAGTTATGGCAACATCTGAAACACATCCCTAATGTTAGGTCCCTAGGGACCCTGAGGGAGATTCCAGAGTTAAAACTCTATAAATTAGTAACTCTCCCTTTCCTGCCCTCCTTATCTGTTACCTCCCTTAGGAACTTTTCCCTTATCCACCTCCGGAATGCAGGGCTGAGAATCAGAGGAAGCAAGGTGATAACCAAATGTCCAAGTTACCTGATGCCCACTAGTCACAATGCCTATGTACGTAAATGCTGATCTTTGAATCTATAGGCTAAGGAGTGATGTACTTCTACATGGATTGGTTAAGAAAGCATATGTTGTTACAAATCTATTGGCTATGAAATGCGCGGGCTTTGCTGTAACGGCCAGTGAAGGCCTATATAAGATCCCCTTTGAAGAAGTTCGGGGTCTTGCCTCACCTAACTGACCTGCGTGTCTGTGTAGGCGGCTTGACCCTGGCTAGCCAGTCTTACAATAAACCTTGCTTGCTGTTTGCAGTCTCTGGAGTTTCTTTGTCGTTAAAGGGAGATCACAATCCGCGCCCTAACACTAAGAAATGGGATTACAGGAATGTCACATGGGTGAGCCCAGGTGCCTAATAAATAATCTTGGATGACACAGGAAACTTCCAACTCAATAAAGAAATGTTTATATACACTCTCCTTTATTAAAAAAAAGGTATGGAAGTGGGGGAAGGTTTCTACTTTATCTGGAATCCTTCAGGAGACCCAATCCATGACCTAAGCGCCTCTTATCCTTCTTTCCCTTCCTTTAAAGAAAATCTTTTCTGATTTGGTGATTCAGTCTCTAAACCCTTGTGTTCAATTCCAACTGCTGGAGGTCAAGGACCTCGTGCCTCTAACACAAAGAGAATTCTGGGTCTGGGTTTTCTTTAACCTCGCTCTTCAGGGTGGTAGTGTATCAGAAACGTAAGCAAGCATGTTTTGTTGTGTCTGAAAACAAATCAGATCACAACAAATCATCATCTGCAGCCTCATTTCTTGCTGAAAAAAGAGACACTTTAATTTTTCCAGTTTTATTATAAAAATCAACATTTCATTTATTACAGCTCAGCTTATTGTAAGAATCAAAAAGGGGGTTTGTACAAGGTATTTTTTTTATACAGTTTACAATTAAAGCACTTACTTTACAAAAAGGGGGAAGTGAATAGTGGACAAGGGCTGACCAAATGTTGGCCATTAAAATATAAATACATCCTTGCAAAGCACCATCGTACCAAAGTCCATGAACAAGAAACACCAGCAGACTTTAAGACAATAACAAAGATTAAAGCTTAAGAAAAATTTTAAAACACAAAGGATAAACATCTGAAAGCAGCACCAGATCCTTCACTTGCAAACCAGGCTAGTTCAACTTAAGTGTCCCTGTATCCTCTTGGCTCATTTAGAATTTTCCTTATTCAAGGAATGACATTAGATGTAGTCATATTGTCCTTTCAATATTCATATTCTAGACATATATGTGCATATGTATGAAGATATACACATATTTCCTGCCTGACTTATAATGTGACCTAAGGAATGGACAGTTAAGCAAAAGTACAGTCTCTAATTCTTTGGTTAACTCTGGACAAATCTGAATAGTGAAAAATCTACAAGTTTTTGCTATTTCTACAGTACACTTTTAAGTTCAAGAAATCACTTAAAACAGTTTTATCTATAAAGTCATGGGGGATTTTTTTTCTTAGCAATGAATTTCAAGGATAGTTTATGGATACTTTCTGAAAAAGAGTAACTGTTATCAAGACTGAAGGAGGGAGACAGAAATTGGTAATTTCATTCTGAGTCAAAAAACTAACTCTTGCCCCTTCAGAGTCTTAATGAGACAGAATCATGAAAAAAATAAAGGGAAAAAATCCTCAAAATCAAATTCAAATCCTGGGGCTAAGATCCACAATGCTCCTAAAATTGTTTCAAATTATAAATGTACATTTTTATGACTAAGGCTCAAGTACTCTAAAAGCTTGAGAATTTCAAAAGCTGATTTTTTAGACTGATGAACTGGTGATATCCCTGAGGTCAGAAACCACGTATATCACCAATGCTTTCTAAATCCATCTGATACTTCTCTTGGCTCATTTTAGGCTTGGAATAAAACTTTTTGAGTTTAAGAATTCTCAGAACTTTCTTTAAACAATGTTTGTTTATAAACTTATGACTCAGTCTAGTTCTAGAGTGGATAGTTCTCAGCTGTGGATGGTCAAACTCTTGATGTCCAGCCGACAATCATGTACCTGTACCCACACCCAGACACCACACAGTTTAAGCGCTGCATTTATTATAAGTCAGGGCAGACTGGGGATGTAAAGAAGTCCCAATTTTTGTGTATGAATCGTGGTACACGTGGCATGGTGAGCAACCCACAGCTCTTAAGGTCATAAATCAATGAAGTTGGCAAGTTTTCTTCTGCAAAAAAAAGAAAACAAACCAAAGAGTCCAATGCTCTATTAACCGAATTGGCTGAGGGCTAACCAGAAGTCAAATAATTTCACAAACCTGTTTCTAAGATTCTCAGATAAGGATTACCTGAGTAGCAGCACATCATCTGCAGAGAAGCGGACTTCCTTAGGGCCTTATATAGCCTGAAGTGAACAGTCTCAACTATGATCTATTGGTCTCAGCTTACATAAATATACATTTCATTAACAGATTAGTTTAGTCACAACTGCTAATTCTACTTGAAATCTTGGGTTTTTATAGCAAAACAAATCTTCCAGAAAAAAAAAAAAACCCTAAATGCCCACCTGTACAAAAAAGTAGCTCCTTTTAGTTCTTAATATTACATGTGATGGGCTCAGACAAATTAACTTGACAGTATTTTTAAAAAGAACAAATTACCCTTAGTAAAAAATTTTAACTTCTCAAGGTCCCCCCCCCACCATTATTGGATGAAACTGTACTATGAAGTATTTCTAAATACCATCATCCCTTTAGAAATTGTTGTCAGAATTACCAAAAAGGCCAGTATTAGCAGTTTATTACAAAATATTTCGTAAAAAATTAAAAAGTTTTGTATTTCATGATGTGCAGGGCAGATAAGTTTTAAAGTGTAGTAAGTTTTAACTAAATAGTATTGGGCCAAAAGTTGCTATAGTACAGCGGGTAGAGTGTTTGCCTTGCACATGGCCAGCCCAGGTTCAATCCCCGTGTCCCATATAGCTCCCTGAGCATCGCCAGGGGTGATTCCTGAGTGCAGAGCCAGGAGTAACCCCTGAGCATGGCCGGATGTGGCCCAAAAACCAAAAATAAATTAAAAATTAAAAAAAATATATCAATACTGAGAAAATTCCATCCAACTGCTTTTGCCCTTTATGAACAAGCTATTATGTGATTTAAGCATTAGCACATCTTGGGCTGCTGTCCAGAAGAGAAGGTCTCAGAGCAGACTGGCTGAGAAAGTACTTTGCACTCATGTCTACTTCTCAGACACCTGCAACACTTCAGTAAGGGACAGATTCTGAGGCCTATGTTCAAAAAAAAAAAATACTTGTATAAAGAAACTAGTAATGTTTCATTTCCTCCTCATGGATCATTAGTCTAGCAATACACCAAGTTTAAAATTTCCTTCCAATGTGTATTCTAACAGGTTATTTACTCTCAGGTTTTAAAATTAAAGATCACTGTCTAATCATCAAGAGTGTTTACTTCAGCTTAACTGTCCATGTAACGAGGGTCTTTTTTCTTTTTGAAATTTCATCAATTCTGCCACTTTTAAAGATACTTCCCCCACAAATACTAAGACAATACTTCAACTATCCCAGAAAGAGGATGCTGAGACCAAGTTGAACTGCCTTTTAATAATTTCAAGCAAATTGGCACACAAATTAGAATTTTTGCAAGAAGAGGCCAATGCCATCGCAGTACAAGCACTTGAACTGAGACAGAACAAGGCAAGATTCTTCTTCGTTCATTATAGTGCAAGTTTCTACATGGGAAGCCCACCAGAGAAAGACATACATTAGGAAATGTAAACATAGAGAATTCTCCAATTCTAACTGATACCCAGTTACCTTTCCATCTTCATTTAAGCATCGAGTGCCCCCCCCGTATGTCCCGGAAAACAACTTCCATGTCCACGGGCTGCTGGGCTGTGTGTGCTCTATTCCATCACTGAGAGGAGTCAGGGACAGTCTGACCGATGGGTCACTGCTTCTTTACATGCAAAATGAAGTACCCGGACCCATCGAGGGTGACCCCAACAATCTAAGCATTAGTCTGAAACCCTATTTTTTCTTCACCCCTGCCAAAATTCCGAATCTTTTCTTTTGTTGTTTTCTCCTTGGACCTTAAAATCCAGAGGCCTCAGCAAGAGAGAACGTAAAACACAGAGAAAAACAAAACGAAACAAAATCTCCACATTCCATAACTGACCAACACCTGTTAACATTCACTATGAGCAGAGAAGTGCTGGATACATGTCAAAAGAAGGCAAGGAGACGGAGCCACGCTAGCAGGCAGCCTCAGAGGTGAGGCTGAGCAGTCAGGGAGACAGACAACAGGCCATTCCAGTCCCCTCCTCTCAAGCTCGGAAAGCTAAGCTACTACTCTGCATTTTCATTTCATCTATATTGCTTAAATCGATAGCCCACAGTGGGATAAGAGAATACACATATAAATAAGGTGATTATAAGGATGATTTTTGGATAGGTTGCAAAGAATCTAACATTCACAGTGGGTAACAGAATGATATTAAACTCATGCCATACTTGGAAGAGGTATGTATGTAGATTGGCATCATTCTGAGAAAAATTGGCCAAGAACATGAACTTTTCAGAAACAATAAAAATCTAGTGATAACAGAATTTTTTTTAATAGATTGTCTCTAAAACCAGGACATATTTTAAAGTTTTACTAGGAAAAAAATTATATAAATGATTTCATATTGTGATATTATACGCTGAAAGTACTGCAAGGATATATGATTAATTTACAACAAAAGTAATGGCTAAATTTGTGATTCTTAAACACTGACTATATGTATTGTAAAGACATTTTAATGAGAATTAATCCTGGAAGTAAAGAGGAGCAATAAAATATCTAACTTTTGATCATTAGGCAGAAGTCACAGTCAAATTGAAGAGCTAATTCAACGGGGAATGGAGCTAATAGAGTAGAAACATTGTAACGAAAAAATATTTACTCAATTCTCAGGTTAAAAAAAACTTTGAATAAATTATGGTAACTTGGCAAAATGGCCCATAAAAACTGTTGGGGAGGAAGGTGAAAACTCAAGAGAAGAGTTGGCTCCTGGCAGAGGTGCGGGCCTGCTCTCAAGCTCCCGCAGAGTCTGAGGGGCAGCTGGTCTGGCCCGAGACACCAACAGAGAGCAGGTTTTCACGAAAATCTGTTTCCCCACAACATTGGTTGGACTCCTAGAGAAAACAAAGCCCTCTGTCCAAAGTTAGTGTTGACCCTGTTTTCCCCTTCCTCTTCATGATTCCTTAAACTTGTTGGGCCCTCAAATATTAACATGAAGGCTATTTGGCAACTTCCAAGTACCTATGGTTTGCTGCTCTGAGATGGAGTATTTTTTTTTCCTTGTATACTTCTTTTATTTTTGGTATTAATAAAGGCCAGGAATTCCTGGTCAGTGATGCCTTTATTCCTGTTTCCTTGGACTCAAGTCACTTCACTGGGTTTAAGGCATGCTTTGTGTATTTAGTTTGCAAAAATAAAACTTTTAGTACAAATTTATTTTTATACAAATTTTTTATGGCACAAGCAGCAAATTCGCTGTTTTAAGAAAATATATAAATATCCTTTTCTTCTGTACAAATATCTCCAGTATTCCCTACCCATTTATAATTTTAACTGTACACGGTCTGCCTCATCCTGCGCCGATAGCTCCCTCCCCCCCTCCAGACTCCAGCGAATCTGTGTGTCCACGTGTGCGTCGAGGCAGCAGAGGAGGAGGGCCCCTCCTCAGGAGGAGTCGGTGCAGGGCGAGGGCGGCGGTGGGTAGAGGTGATGAGAGTAGCTCCTCTCTGTGTACGGGGAAGGCGGGCAGCTCTCATAGTTCTCTTCTGCTGACAAGTACTGGCTGCGGGGTGTGGGAGGCGGGGGCACGGGCTCCGAGTCATAGTTCAAGTCACTGGTGTACCCCTTGGCGGTTGCCACTGAAGTCATTCTCCTGCTGGGCGCATAGTCACTGTCACAGACGTCCGTGCTGCAGGGGGTCGTGGGGGGTGCAAAGTGCCGGTAACTGTATGGCCTATAGCTGGCATAGGAGGACACAGAAGCAAGGCTGATGAGTCGACCGATCAGAAGCTACTGCCACTGCAGGCCAGAAGCTAACCGACTTAAATCTGCACAAGCCAGGAAGACAGAATGGACTCAATCTAGTCTCGTGGATGTGCTCCTCTTTCTTTGTTAAACTGCCTCACAGAACATAAAAGAAATATTCAAAATTGCACCTACTATTCATCTTTAAAAATTTATTTGGTTATTTTGCACTTAGACTGTATCTGGAGGCTTTCTCACCAATTCCGACACTCACAGTCTAAGGAAAAATGGGTCTTTATATACTTTACACTATGCATACATGTCAACATGCAGCAAGCTGGAGAACTTCAACATTCTTGAACTGCTCTGCAGTTTACCTGATCAACAGTTCCAAAGATGTCTAAAGACTTTATTACTCCTTTGAAACTCATACACTGGGCCTGAGAGATTGTGTGGTACAATGTGCCTCTGGGTACCACTTAAGCACCGGGAGGTAGGGTGTGTGCTTGCACACGCAGCCAATTCAGGTTCAGTCCCTGCACCTATATAGTCCCCCTGAGTGCCCCAGGAGTGATACCTGAGTAGAGCCAGGAGGAAGCCCTGAGCTCAGCTCCTGCCATCCCCCGCAGAACCCCACAAAAAAACAACTAAAAAAAAAGCCCTTATATATTGCAGAAGCCAAGCAGACTTCTGGCAGACACTCCATAAGGCACAATGATGTTATTTCTGTTGAAAGCAGAAAAGGGAATCACCATTGTTCGGGGAAAACAATCTGATTCCCCACATACTGATACTATCATAAGAGGAACTTCAAATGGTTGATGCTACGGGTCCAGGAGACGGCTCAGCAGCAGAGAGCCTGCCTTGCATGGGATCTCCGATGCTGCTGCAAATGCTAAGCTTGATCCTGGGACTTTGGATCATTTTAAGTCAATTATTTATAACAAGCAATACAAAACAAATTATTTAGCATCTGCCTGTGAGACAGACTTGGCTGGTGGTGGGAAAATTTGAAATAATGGTGGTGGGAAGTTGGATGGTGGTGGGACTGGTGTTGAAATACTGAATGTAATCAATTATTGTGAACAAGTTTATGAAAATAATATTTTTAAAAGTTAAATATTAAAATATCGATCTATTCTAGATATCCATATAGGACCAGTGATTTTTTTTCCAGTATGCACTTCAGACACCTCATTTATCTCTTACTCATCTACCCTTTCAGGCCACACGCAATGCAACGCCCTACCTGCTGTGCTATCACTCCAGCACTGTAATTTTACCTGTCAGTTGAGTCTGCAGTATTGCTAACTGGAGAGAAAGTCATTGGACAGAGTGTACTAGTGAAATGTACTAGTGGAAATCAGAGCTAAGACCAGAGTGCTAGCTTTTCTATCAGTCCAACTTCCATCTACAACTATTTGTACCACTTAGAGTCTAACTATGATACAGATGATCTTATTTGGATCTTTTCTGCTTTGCTTTCTCACTAAGCAAAGTGACTGAGGGGGGTGGTGGTAAGACCATGTTAAAAGAGAAGTTATGATTCATAAAATACCCACACGACAGAGAGTGTCACAAGGTAATAGCCCAGGACACAGCCATGATCCCACTGAGGGCTTACTTCCAAAGAAAGGTATGCCAAAAAATAAAAGTTATATGACCTGTCGAGCAGGTTCTCCAGCTGCTTTTTCTACCAATATTGACATGCTGTCATAGAATTTTTTGGTCTTATCTTTCTATCCAATCAGGTGTCAAGTCTTATGGTATTTCTTGGCTTCAAATTTAAAAGACCCAGCACTTCTCATGGGAATGGGTGGGAGGCGGGGAGTAAGGGGAAGATAACAGTATTAATAAAATTCTTTTACATTAGGATTTAGACAAAAGCTATGACTCAAAAAGCAGGAAATGTGTTTGAGATATGGAAAATGGCTTATACAGATATGCTCTTGGTGCAATTATGTTTATTTCTGATCAAAGAGGACTCATTAAATTCAAATAAATTTTAAACCATATTATTTCAGGGTTTTCCTTTCAATATTTTTGGGTCTCCACCCTCCAATTTCTTCCTGTTTTACCTTTTTAGAACAAATCTGTGACAATGGAAGGTATGTTTACAATTAAACAAAAGTTATCAGTTCAAAGATGAGCACATTTCAAATAATCTTCTCTACAAATTAGATTCTGAACAGGATACTCTAAATAGCTTTCACCTGAGTTCTATCCATCTGTAAGGCTATACTGGACAGTTTAACTGAAATGCTGGGAAACACCTTATTATCTAGAAGATAACAGGCACTTGGGGCTGAGAACAAATAATGGCATTACATGTTTGGACCCATTTATCAGTTTGCTGACTTTCTGATGGTCTTTCAAAACCAATGGAAAAGTGAAAATGAAACACTAGCAAGTAATCTGCTTTAAAGATTCACAAATCAGCAAAAACAACCCCTTCCACTGCCTTACAAGTAAGCCCTTATTTCATATAAGTACGTAAGACATCTTCGTTCTAGGTTATAATGACTTACAGAAGCAACTGCTGAACGTGAGCTTCTCTCAGGTTTTATCCTCTAAATGCTGCAGCTGTTTTTGGCTGCCAAAACACAGTCTTACTCCAATATTCAACTCTTAGACTTAAACCCTGACCTAAAAAGCTAACTATTTTGGAACTTACTGCTCTACTGGACTAATTTTCCTTAGAGTATTGCCAAAACTGGGGAGTTTTATTTTATAACTCTAAAAGTCAGTATTTGTGGTATTGTTTAAAAGTATATCATGCCCTGAATGAAAAAGATGTGCGGTGGGGACACTGTCAGCATACCCACTCTCTCCTGACTAAGATCTCATTCAGCTTACATCAAACCTGTTACTAGAATAAGAAGCTCTTTCTTGATGGAGGGTGCATGTACATTACCTGTAGGACCTATGAGTAGATGGACTGTTCGAAGAATAACCAAATTCCATAGTGTAATGGGATCGTTCTGTGGCTGGGGATGGAGGAGGGTTCAAAATCTAAAAGGAAAAGTAATTGAAACAATAAAATAAGAAGTCTAGCTCAGAGGCTATGAACCTTTTTTCAAACTCCGCTCATCTGTTCCCATTTCTTTCCATTACACAACACAATCCTTCCAGTGAAAAGAACTGGCTCCGAGTAACGCTTTAGGGTTGTGGCTCGCCACTCTCAAGGACACAATGTCAGGCAACATAATCACAGAGGGCATGGCGAAGAGAGAAAAATCACTCACCAAGTTACTTGTTGAGTTCAGCACAGCTAAGTTCTGGTTTTTCAAATTGCATTTAGAAAAAAATGAGGGGCTATGGAGTTCCCGGCATACTTCTCTGGAGAGGTACTAATTAGCAATTCAACTTTTACCTGAAATTAATGCCCGGTGCTTTCAAATGTGCTGGCAATTACACAGTGAACTGAACAATTGCTAAGTGTTAGCACAGAGGGGATAATAAATCCTCCTTTGAGATTTATATGTCTGAATTCTGCACCGAAAAGTTTCCCATCACTGAGTAATCACATTTAAGTGGGTTACAACTCTTGGAGAATGCTAATCTTAGCATTCAAAGGGAAACAAAAGAAAACAGAAGACTTACAGCTGGGAAGTAAGTGCCTTTGGTGCTTGATGAACTACTTGAAGATGCGCCTGTGACATGAGCACGGTCATAAGGGGGCCCACTGCTTCCGCCCATGATACTGAGAGAGCTGATCATTGATTTACCTCGAGACATTCCTAAAATCAATGAGGGTGAAGAGAAGAGCAAGAAGTATAAAAACGCAAGAAATAATTTTACTGACACCAGCACTCCAAATACTAAGATAAATACTATGGCTCAGAAATAATCCATGCCCTCTTTTACAAATAATTTAAAGCAAACAATTAGGGAAAATGGAAGTTACAGAGAAGTAAACACATCCATTGAGGGCTGCTCTAGCAGGACAAGATTAGCTCCTGTCCTTTCCCTTCCCAGGATGGCAGCAGAACTCTTTGAAGCAAAAGGTCTGACAAAAAGACTCTGATCAACAGACCTCAGATTAGCGAGCGTGAGGGGAGGGGTGCTGGGAGGATCATAATATGTGGGGGGTATTGGTACTTCTGTGGTGGGTGTGATGCATTTAAGCATTAAAGGTCTAAAGCCTAAATATTCAGACGACTATACTCCATATTATCTCAATTTACAAAGAAGTTTTCAATCTTTAGAGGATTTGGCAAAGGGCAGACTATGGAGAGTGGCAGCAGTGAAGCAGAGTAAACAATGTATCTGTTCAAAAAGAAAAAAAAAATTGAGCCACATCCAAAGGTGCTCAGGGCTTACTCCTGGCTCTGTGTTCAGGGGGAGATTGTGGGGTACTAGGAGACTGAACGCGGCTGGCTGCATGCAAGGCAAGAGCATTACCCAATGTAGTACCCCTGTACCCCCAAGTGAACTATTTTAAGAGTATAAATACAATGTGTGGAAGATTTTTCTTCATCTACTAATAACAAAAGTTGGAATTACAGTCAAGTGACTGGATCTCCAAACTCCACTAAGTGAAGATAGGCAGAGCAACAAGGAATCCTTACCACTAAAAAATATGTCAGTTTGCAAGAATTACAACCCAAATAAATTCTTATTTTTAATAGGGCTTTTGCCTGGTAGCCCTTTCTCCACACTCAAAAACAGGGACTGTTTTTCACGGAAACCACTAGAATGGAAGACACGTTCCCTATAGCAAGATGGTCTGGCCACGTTCGGAAACATGCACGCAGGCATGCACGGAAGCACTGATGGACACGTTCTCTGGATGCTCTGGTCATAGACCTGAACAAACTTATGGCTCTGATTCCTTTCACCAAGCAGCTGACCCACCTGTGGAAGTGCTGTGAGAGGGACCTACAATTTAAACATGCATTTGCGTCACATCTTTTGGCAGTATCTACCAGATCATACATAAGGGATTTTGTGTAAATAGAATGAGCTAAAAGAAAATGCTTTCTTAAACGTTTAAGCTCCAAAAAGTTGATTTTGAACCAGGTTTCAGGAAGCACTGTTTCCATAAAGGACACTTGATGCTGGCCTTGTTTTTGATTAGCTGAGTCTCAGCTCACCTGGCAGAGAGCCTGACAAAGAACTTGGGTGAGGCACATAGCCCAGGGGCACAGAAGCTGGTCCATGAACTACATAGTCATTAGTCATGGTTTCCCCATCTCCTTTCATACGTGGACACAACATCCTCTGGCAGATAAAGTATATGGTTCCAGACACCAAAATGGTGATAATCACTCCAATAACTGAACCAACGGTATTGGTCGCCTGTGGTGCTGGCTCCTCTGTTGGATCTAAGAGAAAATGTAGGACAGTCACATAACAGAACATTTCCATAAAAAGCAGAAAATAATCCACATTTGGGTTTCTTTTATAATTTGATTTCTGGGCTACACTCTGGGGTGCTTGATGGCTACTCTCAGCTCTGTGCTGCTGGGCGTGGGGAACAGAAGGCACTCCTTGCAATGTTTGGGATACCATGTGATATTGGAGTTTAACCTGAGTCTCCAAATGCAAAGGATGCCCTCAGATCTTTGAGCCATCTCTCAGCTCAGAAGATTCAAAACAAATAAAAAGAGGACCTCTACCAGACTGTGAAGCAACTGAAGAGAATTCCTAAAGTTTTCATTTTTATAAACCAATCTATGCCCCATCTTATATAAATAAATAGAATCATTAGGAATAAAAATGAACTATTCCAAAAGAAAATGCACTGGAAAATATAACTATAAACTAACAGAAAAAAAAGGGTGCTGCGTTTATAGATTTAAGCACAATCAAGCCTTAAATCACTAAAAAGCAATTTTATTCTATTACCTCATAAAAGCCAACCAGGTTATTTTGGGATTTCAGTTAAAATTTGAGGGCTAATGGAGAGATGTTCCAGGGATGTTAAGGCATATACTTTGTGTACAGCCAATTCCAGCTCAATCCCTGGCATGACATGGGCCCCAGAGCCAGTCACGCAGCCTTCGTGAGACTTGGCAGCACAGGGCTTGGGCCTTAAACGGCACCACTGGACCCAACCAGCCAAGAATTGCTTGGAGTGCATTCGACCCCAGAAAAAAATTTATTCTGGCAGTCCCTCCCATTTGCACGTAGAATTCCAACAAACCTGTTTTGTGTGCTTTTGAGCAGTTGCCTTTGCCTAGGATGCAGTTCCTCCACCAACTTGTCAACACTAACATCCAACATCTTTTGAGGGAAGGGTGCCCAAACATGTAAGACATGTCTTCCATCACTGTGCCACACATATAGGCCCTGGATACCCAATCTTAAGAATATTTTCTAATAAATCTCCCTTTATGAAACCCGTCTTCATTCCTAAAGATTTTACCACTCTCCCCTTTGAGCTAGTGCTTGTGTATTTCTCTACGATAATGCATTTGCTTCCCTTTACCACAATGCTTTATACTGGCTGTATGTTTTATATATACCAAATCAGTTAATACACGTTATTACTTTAATATCCTTAAAACATAGAGAACTTCGACAAGTATGATACATGCCCTCAGAGTCATCAGGTGTTGAGGAAATGAACAGATACTAAAAGCCGTAACAAGCATGCCCCTTCACTCCTGGGCAATAGCAGCTGAAAGTCAATCGGGAAAAAATGTTTAAACTAGTTCTACCTTAAATTTCATTAGACCAGTTTTGAGACGGCGGATTTGGCTTATGATGAATTCCACTTACAATTACGTTTATTAATTTGGAGTATATTTTAGGTTAGGAAGTGGTCAATAGTTACAGGCTGGCTATTAAATCCTCGGGTTTCTAAGCCTAGGGGCTGATGTGGGCTCAGGTCATTTCTAAGATCCTAAAGACACTGAGACATTTTCTTGTTAGGAAAAACATGATACTGGTAAATAAGAACTTATGTTCAGAAATCTCCACTCCCTCCCTACTCCCCCCCAAAAAGCTCTCCCTTTAAGCTCTTAAATTTAGACTACTGATTGATTTCCTCATTGAGATTTTCTGAACTTCAGTTTGATCAAACTACATCAAACTGCGTTCCCTAAAGCTCAACTAAATGTTTATATGAAGATGTTCTCATACAATACTGAAAAAAAAAGCTTTTTTAATAATATACAAAGTTAGCAATACTTACAACAATCTAGCTCATCTGATTTGTCACTGCAATCCACATTATGATCACATTTCTTGTGTTTTCCAATGCACTGACCATTGGCACAGCGGAACTGATCAATTAAACAAAGTACTGGGGGGAAACACAAATAATTTTCTTATTTTCTCTATTACACAACTCAGGCAAGAGTCAAAAAATTCTTTTTGGTATGATTTTTATATATGTTAAAAAGTTATTCTCTGGGGACTTCCACTGGTAGAAAGATATAGAGTAGGAAAAAAAATCCATGCAGAAAATTTCCTGTTTTGTTCTTTATCTGAATAGTATCTTTTATAAATAATTCTATTACGAATTTAAGATGTCAGGGCTGAAGTGATAGGACAGCAGGGAGGGGAGCTTGCCTTGCACATGGCCAACAGGGTGGGATCGCTGGCACCTCACATGGACCTTTGAGCCTGCCAGGAGTAACTCCTGAGCACAGAGCCAATGGTCAGCTCTGAGCACGGCCAGTTGTGGCCCCACTTCCAAATTCTATGTGCATTTCTATACACTAAAGAATATGTAGAAAATTTGTTTTCCCTTTTAACTATGGCAAAAGAGTGAAAGAGTAAAATATAAATTACTTAAAATTGTAATAAATATGCTAATCCAAAGTTCATTTGCAACAAGAACTATGTTACACATAATAGAACTAATTTTTGGTCTTATATCTCAATTAGCTAAATTCATGAATATGAACAGGCCTTATGCATGAATAGTCAAAATTACTTGAAATGCCCCAAATTTACCACTGAGCCAAAGCATGACTCTAAATGTCAAAAACCATAATGGATAATGTATGGTATAAGCAGGTTTGAGAACACTGAGTACCTTCACAGTTCTTCTCATCAGATTTATCCTGGCAGTTGGCATCTCCGTTGCATCGAAGGGCACCATCAACACACTGCCCGCTGGCGCACTGGAACTGGGACTCTGAGCACACAGGACAATTGAGCTCATCGCTGTGGTCCTCGCATTCAGTGAACCCGTCACACCGCCAGGCCACAGGAATACAGTCAATTTCCCCCGTGAAACAAGTAAACTGCTGTGGAGAACACGTTGGGGGTTCTTCAAATAAACAAGGGGGAGGGGAGTGACAAAAACAGAATAGTCACACAGAGGTACAAACACACCTACGTGATGTTCACACAATAACAAACATAAACGAAACAATTTAAAATAGATGTTTGTAAAACGAATGAAAAATACAATGAACATTTTATTCAATTCACGTCACTGATAGAATGGACAAGTCCTTTCAACATCTGTAAAGAGGATTATGTATTTTATGAAATCACAATCACAATACAAAATTCTGAATTTTTCCCATCTGAGCCAAATGCTTAGTTTTTTCTCAAATGCAGTGATTTATTTAGAGTTAAACATTATTCATTGGGGCTGGAGTGATAGCACAGGGGGTAGGGCGTTTGCCTTGCATGCAGCCGACCCAGGTTCGAATTTCAGCATCCCATATGGTTCCCCCGAGCACTGCCAGGAGTAATTCCTGAGTGCCTGAGCCAGGAGTGACCCCTGTGCATTGCCGGGTGGAATCCAAAAACAAACAAAAAAACCCAACAACATTAATCACTGACAACCTTGCCAATGATTAATTCACCGATAAACCAATTCATTTTGTCCCCACTGGCAATTGTCATCCACCCTGATTGCCAGCACGGAGATATAGCTGAGACTTAACTGCCAATGCAGACTAGTTGGGAAACTAAGAGACCTTAGCTCTTTGTAGAATAGCTGTCATTACCAAAGGAGCTGTTTAAATTCATAACATTTAGCATGTTCTCTAGCCTATAGTGGCTGCCATCCTAGACAGAACAGTTACAGACCATGTCTATTTCATGGAAGTGCAGCCAAACAGTACTGCACTAACTCCCAGAACAGCTTTCTAGTTCAGGGCATTTTAAATTGTTTGAAATACACTGGGGGTACTATTTTATAATATCTCTTTCCTTTTTAAAAATGATAACTTTAAACTTGGATAGGATTGATAACTCAAGGGCCAAAGTGCATGATTTGCATTAAGAGAGCCCCAGGTTCAATCCATGACACTGTATGGTTCCCCAAGCACCACAAGATCTCGCCCAAAAGAGAAACCGAGGCTCGGTGGGGGAGATAGTAAGCCCACAGAGGCAGGCAGGCTTGGTGAAAAGAATCCAGGACATGAAAACAAATGGCCAGATTTCTATGATGTGTCAAAGTCATGGTTAAGGCTTGTGCCCCGAATTAGGACAATCCAAATTGTCAATCTTTCTGTTCCTTCCTGGAAACTGGGGACAATAATGATGATTGTTGTTGCTGCTGCTGCTGCTTAGCTCATGGGATTTCCAGGAAACCTCAGCATTCTATAAACAACGGGATACTATATAGTCACCAGGAAAAATGAAGTCATGAAATCTGCTTATAAAGGATAGACACGGAGAGTATTATGCTGAGTGAAATGAGTCAGAAGGAGAGGGAAAGACAATGACAGCACCTACTTGTGGGATATAAAAAACACAGTATAAGACAGTAGAAATGAGGACCAGGAAAACTGGTCCATGGTTGAAGTTTGACACTAGCGGGATGGGGGCTGAGATGGGTGTTTTAGGGAGGACAGTTAAAGAGGGAGGGAGAAAGAGAGAGGGAGTGCGGAGGGGAGGGTGAGGGGGATCGTGGGGTGGCGGGGGGGGGGGGGGGGGAGAGAGTGAGAGTGAGAGAGAGAACCTGACATAAAGACAGACTGGGGGTGGGGGGGGGGTAAAGGAGGGAAACTGGGGACATTGGTGGTGGGAAATGTAACTGGTGAAGGGACACTGGACCATTATAGGACCAAAATCCAATCATGAACAATTTTACAACTGTGTATCTCACAATGATTTAAAAAAATAAAACAAAAACAAAGAAAAACCTGTAGTCTTACATTGGCTCACAAGCCATCCTTAAGTCTTTGGCATTATTATTCTAATTCAACCTACTCCTTAGTCATACAAGCTATATGACCTTGGACATGTTATTTAACTTCTCTGACACTGCTACTTATTGTTATAAAAGAAAAAACAAACAAAACTTCCACCCCATCTTATCAAACATTTCAAGAGGACTTGGTAAGCTTATAAAATGCTGGTTAGTTTTGTATTAGCTTTTATGATTGGGATGTTTAGTAATCATATATATTCAGTTACTTATGAATAATTTTCCTACCATTAGAAGTTTTTAATTTTTTTGTTTTGGGGCCACTTCCACCAGTTACTCCTGGTGGGTTGAAGGACCGAATAGGGTACCAGAGCTTGAACACGGTAGGCCACATTGAAGGTAAGTGTCCACCCACTGTATTATCTGGCTCCAATAAGTTAGTTTTTAATTTTTAAAAATTTTGTTTTTTACTTTCTGCCAATGTAGGAAACACTATCAAGAGTATTTCTCCCTTAGCTGAACTGAATTAGAATAATTTCTAAGAGGAACACAACAGCTAGGGAAATCAGTATTATTACAGAATTTGATGCTACTATAGAATGCTTTAACAAATGAATATATCAATTTTCATTACGTCTTCAAGATTAAACCAAATTTACTGAAAAAGTATCACCTATTTATATGTTAAAATAATGTTTTTGCTATACAAATAAAAAGCCAACAGAGAACAGCTAATACATTAAAACAACAACAAAAATAAAATGTTACTTTCATCACTGGAAACATCCCAAAAACAATAAATGGTCAAAATCCAGAATTCAGTGATTATAAGGAGTGGAGTAAGCTCATTTTATAATTACTTGGGATTGGGGGGAGGGGAGGGGAGACACATCTGGTGATGCTGAGGGTTTGCTCTGGGCTCTGAACTCAGGAATCACTCCTGGCAGTGCTCTGGGAACCATATGGAATACTGGGGGTTGAACTGGAGTGGCCAGGTACAAGGCAGGCACCTTACTCACTGTATTCCCTCTCTGGCTCCTCATCCTAGATTCTTTTTTCTTTTTGGATCACACCCAGCGATGCTCAGGGGTTACTCCTGGCTCTGCATTCAGAAATTACTCCAGGCGGTGTTTGGGGGACCATATGGGATGTCGGGGATTGAACTCTAGTCAGCCCTACCCACTGTACTACTGCTCTGGCCCCTCATTCTGGACTTAATTTCTTCTTTTTGGTGGTGGGGGCTACAACTGATGGTTGCTCAGGAGACCATATGTGGTGATCAGAACCAAACCCTGGTCAGCTGAGTACAAGACAAGTATCCTACCTGCTGTACTAATCTCTCTGACCTCTCATAATTTTTAAAAGACTACTTTATTATTGGGGAATGCATTCGTTTACAGGAAAATTTCTCCCTAATAAGGGTATTTTCCTCATAGATCCCAAATCAGAACATAACACTTATCACAACTTACTCTTAAAATAATCCAAATAGTCTATAGTAGATGAATGAAAAGCAAGTGACCAACCAAGAAAAAGAACAATTACAGTGCTAGATCAGATAATAAACTGTGTTAAGTGCCACTTAGGGCTGGAGCGATAGCACAGCGGTAGGGCATTTGCCTTGCATGCAGCCAACATGGCCAACTCGAGTTCGATTCCTCCGCCCCTCTCAGAGAGCCTGGCAAGCTACCAGAAGTATCTCGCCCGCACGGCAAAGCCTGGCAAGCTACCCGTGATGTATTCGATATGCCAAACACAGTAACAAGTCTCACGATGGAGACATTACTGGGCCCACTCGAGAAAATCGATGAACAACGGGAGGACCGTGACCGTGACCATGAAGTGCCACTTAGATCTTAACAAGTAAATTATATATATACCTCCACATGATAACTCATCTTGCAGCAGAACTAAATGCATGGGGCAAGAGCACCTGGTTGTACCATCACCTTTCACAAGACATATATGTGAGCAGCCACCATTATCCTGAGCACAAGGATGCTGTCCTGCAAAGAAACAAAACGAGGAAAGAAAATGAAGGCCAGTCTAGACAAAAACCACCCCCTGATGGATTACCAAGGAAACCAAGTTACTTTGGCAGCTGTGGTAGTCTTAAGATTCAAGGGTGGCAACTGTTCTGAGGTGCTTTTGGTCACAGACATGTTCTTTTCTTTTTGGGGCCCACACCTGGCTGTGCTCAGAGCTTACGCTCAGCTCTGCACTCAGGGCTCACTCCTGAGTGCAGAGCCGAGAGTAAGGGATAATATGTGGTGACAGGGATTGAACACAAGTTGGCTGTGTGCAAGGCAAGTGCACTACTCACTGTACTATTTATTCCTCCAGTCCCAGATCACATATATATTTTAATAATAAAAAAAAAACAGGCCAAGGTTATATAAGCCACTTTCAAAACTTTTCAGTAACTTAAAATATTTATGATTACTTTTAGAAGTTGAGTATTAAAAAAATACATTCAAGTGGCTGGAGCAGTACAGCGGGGAGGGCACTCGTCTTGCATGTGCCAGACCCAGGTTCGATCCTTGGCATCCCATATGGTCCTCTGAGCACTGCCAGGAGTAACTACTGAGTGCAGAGCCAGGAGTGACCCTTGAGCCATTGCCAGATGTGAACACCCCCCCCCAATTTAAAATAAAAAATTTATTCAAGAAGGGAAAACAATGCACGTATTAAGAACAGTCTTCTCTAAGGTTATATACTTTGGGGGGGGGGGGGAATTTGGGGCACTACCTACAGACCTGGCAGTGCTCAGGGATCACTCCTGAGGGGACTCAGGGGACCACATGCGGTGTTTAAATATTAGAATTTGTATTAATAATGAACACTGAGCACTTGCTGCTACAAGTTTATATTAAAGCAAAACTACTACTATTATATGTATAGGGACCGGAGGGACAGGTTGCTGGCCTTGCATGCGGCAGACTTCGGTTTGATTCCTGGCACCTCTGAGGGTCTCCCAAGCCCTGAGCACTGCTAGGTGCGGCCCAAACAGTTACATAAATAAAATAAAATAAAATTAATTACATGTATAGGAAAAGTTCTATCCACCTAATTTTTAATTTGTACCTGCTTATACAAATTAAGTAAATTTTTCTATGGTAACTATATTCATCATTATATAGTCTTTCCTTTTCTTCAAACCTTGGAGGTCTGTAACAGAAATACACACATCAGGGCAGGGAGACAGTTCAAAGGGCCAAGCATATGCTTCACATGCAGGCCGCCAGGACTCTAAACTCAGTACCCTAACCTCCGGAGCACCTCTGAAAGTGGCACCTTGTTACCCCCAAAAGGAATAGATACTTGAACCAGTTTCTCTGGGGGTGGGGGTCAGGTGCTGTTCTGGGGCCACACCTGACAGTGCTCTGGGGTTGCCCCCTTACCAAGTATTTTTCAAGGAGCTAATGGAAAGGAAAGGAGTTGACAAGCAGACTATTTGTAATACCAGGGAAATTTCTGAAAATGAACAAGGCATTACTTTTCCCCACTGAGTTTGAAACAAAGCTTTACAAATAATTAAATTTTAAAAAACAGCAAACTAAACAGCACCCAAAAATCTTGAAGATAAAAGTAAGAAGCCCAGAAGAAGCCCTCGAGTTTGTCCGTTTCATCTGCATCCTCGCCACAGCCCAGTGCCCCGAAGTCAGCAGGCCCCTGTGGTACTCACGGTACTCCTGAAGGTTGAGCTCCTTCACGGCGTGGATGTCACTCAGCTGAGCAATTCGAGCCTGGACTTTGGTTCTGCTCTCTCGGCCTGTCATGTCAATTTTTTCGATCATTTGCTGCTGCTTATCAATCCAGTACAGCCAGTTTTCAAACACAGTCAGCCCCACAGGCTGCAAGATATTGGAGTCCTCTAATACTATACGGTTGGCACCTGAGAAAGGAAAACAGTGAACTGAAATGATTCATGTGGGCTGGCAATTAGCAACTATTTAATGAAATCAGCTACATTCTAGAAGTACTGAAAAAGAAATGTGATATTTTCTACCTTATGAATTTAAAAAAAATTATGAGAATATACCAGAACACAGTAACAGAATTCAGTGGCAATCAAAAGCCAAAAGGTAACCAAAACACACCATGTATTTTAAGTTCATAGAAAAGAACTTGGAGCAGTTTTCAAGTGTTCTTTATATAACATCCCATCTTTCAAACTAAATTTTGAAATAAAACATTTGTTAAATAAAACTCTAAAATATGAAACAGATGGAAACAGTCTTGTTTGGGATTGAGGTGCTTGTCTTGCACAAGGCTGCACCCAGTTTGATCCCATGCACTGCACAGGGTCTCCTGAGCACTGCCAGGAATAATTTCTGTGCACCACCAGGTATGACCCAAACCCCTCCTTCACAAAATGGTATTTTCTGGGGCAAAAGGGTCTGTACAGGAATTAAACTAAATTTGCCTGCATGTGGCTAACCGTAATTCGATCCCTGGCACCACATGGTCCCACAAATACTGCCAGGAGTGATCCCTAGGTAGAGAGCAGGAGTCAAACACCGTGAGATATGCACCGCCCCTCCCCCGGACTATTCTGGATGAAGCGATTGCTGAGCCCAGAGCTCATGGCCTACCATGAGCTGTGTACCTCTGTGGCAAATACTATAGCCAGCTACACAGGAAAAACAAACAACTCAGAGGTTGCCTGGATCAAGTCTCACCTGTTAAGAGTTCATATATAGAGCCATCTAGACTCTGAAGAGTCAATATATTAATTGTACTGTTGAGCTATAAAAGAGATCTTACTTATATGTATATATGTGCAATTTCCCTCTTGTTCAAGAAAAATATACTACATCTTCTTAAAAACAGTCCTTAAATTATCAGTAAGACATTTTTGTGCTTCATAAATAATGAGTTCAATCAACAAAAAACAACAGTTTAAAAAGAAGTGTCAAGACATAGAGTTATTGACTTCAATGGTGTCTTCAATGATCTGAGACCTCACTGGCAAAGAAAACAAAAGCAAAAATAAATGAAACTACATGAACCAAAATATTTCTACACTGTGGAAGAAATAATAGCTAAAATAAGAATATCCTTGAAAGGGAGAGAATGTTTCCACATCATACATCTAAAAAAGGACGAATTTCAAAGAATTAAAGCATAAACAGTCCCATTTAAGATAGGGGGAGGAACTAAACAGACACTTCCCTAGGTCAACAGGCATATTAAAAAAGGACCTACAAGGGGCTGGAGCGACAGCACAGTGGGTAGGGCATCTGCCTTGTACATGACTGACCCGGGTTCGATTCCCAGCATCCCATATGGTCCCGAGCACCACCAGGAGTAATTCCTGAGTGCAGAACCAGAAGTAACCCCTGAGCATCGCCGGGTGTGACACCCCCCCCAAAAAAGTGCCCTACATCTCTTATCAGGAAGACTGCAAATCAAAACAACAAAGAATGTCACACCATCGCACAACCATGAGGATGGCCTCTTCCAACAGTGCTGAGGAAACATGATGAAAAAGGAACCCTCACTTAGCTGGAGGTTTGGTATCTGGTTTAGCCTCTCTGGGAAGCAGTCAGGAAACTTCTCAAACAATTAAAACTCCATATGACCCAACAATTCTACACCTTGATATCTATTCCAAGAACACAAACACATTAATTATATGCATACCTACATCATTGTAGCACTGTTTAAAAAAAGTCAAGATCTGGAAACAATCCAAATGTTCAACAATACATGAGTGAATAAATTAATCTATATACACAATGCAATTCTACTCAGTTATAAGAAAAGATGAAATCTTGCCCTTTGCTACAATTTGGATGCAAATAAAAATATGAAGAAAAATAATAATGAGAAAGACAGAAGTCAGATTATTTCGCTCATACGAGGTATACAGAGAAACAATGTAAGAGCAAAGACAGTGTCCAATGAAAATAAACCTTGGACTGTGACGATAACACTGAGGTTACCAAACTGAGAATGGAGGAAGATCTGGGTAACAGGGGTGGTGAGGAGAAAGGCAGAACTAAGCAACAAAAACACAGTGGTGTAAGACTGAGCACTTAGGTACAGTGTTGTACATCAGAAGCGTAAACAATATCTTTACTGTAACCAAGTTATCTCAATGAGTAACTCTGACAGTTTTCCCCTCTCCCCTGGACATAGTGCCTATTTTAAATTCATATTCCAGATCTTTAGTAGGAATACCAGAAACTGGAAGAGAAAGTAAGCAGGACTGCAGAGAAATGAGAGGGTAAAAGCTCACTGAAACATATCATTGATGTGATCAGATCTAAACACCAAGAGTGTAAAGAGCATTTGAGTTTAACTGCATTTTTTGAACCAACTTTAGTGTAAGAGTAAATGTTCTTCCCTCCCGTTAAGAGTCTCTTCTGGAAGATACTTTAGTACAATAGTGACATGAGGAGAAAAAATATAAACTTTAATGGAAGAAAAACCTGCGGATATTTTTTTTTGTAGACTAGAATTCAGGCCAAAATAGGAGACAACATAAGTTAGAAAAGAACCAGGAAAGGAAAAGACACACCAGAAATGTGTTACTTATACAGAGAGCCCCAATTAAGAAACTGGCAAGTAATTCGCTAAGAGTAATCATATTGATGGATAAAGAAAATGTAGTTCCCAACTAACATGATGTTTTCAAGAACAAAACTGTAGAGAAAACAGGTACAAATACATGGCTGGGGAGCCGACAGTTCAAAGGGTTGAGTATATGCACTGAGTGGTGTCTGATTCTCGGTGCACCCATCCTCGGTGCACCCACCCAACCTCAGAACACTGAGTCAGAAGCAACCCCTGAACATTGCTGGGTGTGACCAAAAAACCAAAAACGAGAATGAAAAGACAAATGTTGTGTCAGAGACAGTTCAAGGGGGTAAACCTAAACAGAGCATGGGCTGCATTCAGGAGGCCCTGGTACAAACTCCAGCACTGCATGGTCCCAGAGCAATACCTTCCATGCTCAAACAACAACAAAAGTACAATTTTTACTGATGAATTATCTCAAAATCTCAAATCAGAATAAGGAAACATGTCTTGCATACCTGAGAGATCACTACTTTCAATTCGTCGAAGGTCCGAATCAGCCCAAAAGAGCTTGCCCAATCTGCTATCAAGGGCTAAAGCAATTGGTTTACTTAAACCACTGAAAAAGAGGACCTCACGTTCTGTTCCATCCAAAGCAGCTCGTTCAATTTTGGGTGACCTTTCCTGAAGATTAGTAAAATACATATACCTGGAGATAAAAGTAAATAGTAAGTTTACCAATTAAGAATCCACACAAGAGGCTGAAGTGATAGCACAGTGGGTAGGGCATTTGCCTTGCATGTGGCCAACCCTGTGCATTGCCGGGTGTGACCCATAAAGCAAAAAAAAAAAAAAAAAAAAAAAAAAGAATCCACACAAAATGAGAACATTCTTGTTGAGACGAAGGAGGTAGAATATTATTTTAAAATGTGTTACAGTTCACTTTTTGAAAGGCCGTGGGATGTTTATTGCTTTAATAGCATTAAATGAAAGTACATCGCTGTTTTTAGGGAACTAACTTTCATGGATTAGTGGATTAAAAATTTCATGGATTAAAACATTAGACACATGCATGCCTAAGCCTGTATGATAAGTTAAATCAAAGAGAAATAACCAGAGCATCACGAACACAATTTCAAAAAATTCTGTCTGTAATTAATTCACCTCATGGATAAAAAATAATTCATATGAAGTTATATTTAATGCCTATGGCCTATCTTTTTCCCTATAACTATTGATTTATTATTATTATTACTGCTATTTTTTTTCTATTTGGGTCACACACGGCAATGCTCAGGGAATCATATAGGATGGTAGGGATCAAACCCAGATCAGCTGTGTGCAAGGCTGATAAATGCCCTACCCACTGTACTATCGCTCCAGCCCCTTTTAAAGTCAGTCATGTTCCATGTTCCATGATAAATTCCTCAGCATTCAGAGGCAAATACAGTTTATTAAATGCAAAACTGTACCAAATAAAACAAAGTTTTTAACAGAAAGGAACCTAAAGTCTAGTAGAAAAATACATGAGTGAGAAACAAGTAAAAGAGGTGGCAGGAAGAACTAATTAGACAGACAGGTTTAGGATGTGGGGTGTTGGAATGGGAAAAATCACATCTGGCCAGAGGGAGAAAAGGTCAAGGAAAACTTCATGGAGGATGAAGTACTTCAGGTGTTCCTGAGGTATGAGGAATATTTATAGAAAAGGCAAATAAGGAATGAAATCCTACACAGTAAAACTGTAAAATCAGAGAAAACATAGAAGAGTATGCAAGACAATATTGGGGAAACTGGATAGGGTACATCTTTCCACCAGAGCACAGCACACATAAAGATAAGTAACTTACGGGCTAGAAAGGAAGACCAGAGGGTCTCAGAGGCAAGGAGCTTGGCGCCGCTTCAGTGACTTACCCTTTCTCAGGATTCACCACAATGGCCCGAGGTCTGTCTTGTTCCCCTTTGAGCACCACTCCAATCGATCTCCCATCTAATCTTGTTACATTAATCACATTCGTAGCCTCACAAGTCCAGTAAATGTAGCGGCTATAAATATCAATGCTGAGATCGTAAGGCTGGATTTCTAGGTTCTGATTTGGAACTGAACTCACAACCACGGTAAAGCCCTAGGGAAAGAAAAAGACAGAAAATTGGACTTCGTGTCAGAGCTATGGCAACTCACTCCCAAGGCTTGTACTTCCGTGGTCACACATTTCGTGAGATGGTCAAATCTCAGAAAACATTTCTTACCTATTAATTTTTCCTAAAAAATAAATATTGTACTTCTTTATTAATAAGCACTTCAAAAATGTTCTGTTTTGTTGTTAAGACATAGGGCTGAAGCTGATGCCATAATCACTGTTTGAAGAACCTGATCATGTGCCAATTACAGATGGGAGCGAGAAAGTGGCAACTCATCTGGACATAACTCGGGTTAAAAATCACACCCTAGAAATTACACTCAAACAGAAGTAATTTTGCATTTGCAAATGCCTCTACTGAGGCATTTGGGAAACATATGGAGTTATTTTGTTGTTATATCTAAGTGGATTTAACTGGAATCCAAAAGCAGAGAGAGGGATGCTGCAAAACATCCTACAATGTATATGTTAGCTACCTATCTCCGCCTCCTCCCCCCAAAAAATCATCCAGCCCCAATCTGTCTGTAGCACTCGGGTTAAGAAACTCTGCCCTTGGGCCCAAGAAATGACTTGCTGGGCTGAAGGAAGACTTGGGTTTTCATCCTGTCACTGCATGGTCTCCTAAGCACTGCAAGAGGGCCCTGAACCCAGAGTGGGAGGAGCCCCCAAGCACTGCTGGGTGTAACCCAAAACCAAAAGAAACTCTGCTCTAGAGACAACAATAATTAGTCAAAGCTGTAAATTATATCAATTAATCATGTTTTTTTCCCTCTAATCTTCAGATCTACAAAAAAATTTTTTTACAAACCCAAGCAAAACTAAAGGCTTTGTCCATCGTTCTATCTGAGCAAGTCATACTTTACCTTCTCAGAATCTCTAAGGGAGCATCTTCCTTACTGATAGTATCTCATTTATTTGGTGTGTCCCTGACTATATAATTACTGCTATGATTAGTATCTACTAGTTATCACCCTACTTAGTCTAAGATGCATCTGTCATGTATCTCTGGTAACCTCATCTGTATACACTTATCATTTGCTGATTCGTCAGCAACCTTAAATCATTATTGCCTTGCTCTTTTTCTATGAAAGAACATATCAAAATTAATAATCTAGTCTCCCTAACTACATTCAAAAATCCAATACTGCCATGATAGAATGACAAATATTAATAATAATCCCAGTATTAAACTCCTAAGTCACAGAAAAAAAACAAGGATGAATAATCACTGGGAAACCATGACCCTGTCTGTAACCATGAAAGTTTTGTTATATAATATTTATTAGCTAAGATTTATTTATTCTTTCCCACAGAGAGAAAATAACCAAAGGAAAGAATAAACATATCCTGCAAGTTTTGTTTACATAGGATTATTAAAACTAACAATTCATTTATTCTTCTACTCCATGAGAATTCAACCAATGACTTGCCTTAAAATTTTAGTGAGACTGTGTGTATTTCCTATTCTCTGAACCTCTGAAATAATAGTTCAACAGCAGTAGAATTACTGAGTTCCTACTACACAATAGGTAATGAGCTATGTCCTTTATAATCCTTTCTGATAGCCGATTGTAGTGACAAAGTCATTACCAATATATTGACATATATTACCCCAATATGATTTTCATTATGATAGTATTTCAAAATATCATTTACTCTAAGATCATTAGAAGGAAAAAGAGCTGCTGGGTCAAAAATTTGTTTCTAGGCATAAGAAATTAATTTTGAAGTGAGTCCTTAAATTACCTGGCTGCCATCTTCTTGTGCTTTTCGAATCACATTTTGCCGTGAGTCAATCCAATAGAGCTGCTTGTCCAGTGGGTCATAGTCAATGGCCCGAACATTCCGAAGACTATGGATAGGAAGGATGATGTCAGGGCTTTGCTGTTCATCAATCACCATGCGGTTGATGGCACTTTTCTGACTGAAGAGTAAGAAGGTGGTTGGAGCTACAGGAAGAGTAAATAAGAAATATGAGCTTACGTCCTGTAGCATTCCAACACTGATCAGCCTCCTCTCTCCCACAATGCAGATGCTGAGGACAAAACCCTCTGACATGCCCCCAGAAACTTCCCTTAAGGTTCCTCTGATCAGCACAGTAGTAACCAACCCAGATATGAACCTACCCAAGACACTGCTATCTAAATCTGCCCCTCCCCCCCACACATCTGGTCCACAGGAATAGCACATATTCTCTAAGAACAAAATTCTAATCCGTATGTGTTAACACATGGCTCAAGTGGTAACACATACATCTAAATCTCCCAGGCCTGGGAGACCAATCCCTGGCACTGCGAAGCCCCCAAGCATTGCAGAGGGGGCCTTGGTGGCTCCCAAGCACTGTGAGGCTTGAGGCTCTTATAATCTAACAAGCATCTTTAGGTGTGCTCACCCCCAGCAATGTTGGGTGTAGTCCTAAGGAAAAAACAACAACAACAACAAAAACCAAAAACCCCAGAAAACAAAAAATCCCTACCTCTTGTTTACAAAGTGAATAGTTTTGCTCCTCCATAGACTATCCTCTGGAATGGCAGAGCTAGAACCTCCAGAAGTCGAAGTAGAAACTAAAGATTGTTTGCGTTTCTGTTCTCTATCTAGTCACTTGATCTTAAATGAGTCACTAAACCTCTCCGGGGTCAAAGTTTGCTCAACTCCAACATAAGGCCACCATCTGATCCCATAAAGTAAGTTGGTTGCTCTAAAAACTTTATAATGTAAGTAAAAAATATTTACACAGCTTCTTGCTTCACATCCAGAGGCCCCAAGACTGTACCACTGGGTGTAGCTCTGGTGACCCCAAAACTGCAGGACTCAAGCATTGACACTTCATGCCTGTAGAACCGGGCTAAGCATTACCAGGAGTCACCCCTGGCCCCTGCACACATCTTAGGAGAGTGCACCCAAAAGATTATGGGGTAAGAATGAGTCTCAGCAGTAAAATAAATGCTTTCTATAGATGAGAACAGGTTTAGTGATCCCTGGAACTAACGAAAAAAAAAAAAAGTAAGGAAGTATGTAGATATGAAACAAAAGGAAGTTTTGAATTGTTGTATTTATTTTTGGGCCACACCAGGCAGAGCTCAGGGGACCTATATGTGGCACTAGGGATCAAGCCTGGGTCAGCCACATGCAAGGTTGGTGCCCTACCTGCTCCAGTGTTTCGACGGAAATCCTCCAATACCTGGAGGCCCCTTCCCTGACCCCACCCCACAAAGGTCCTCTAACAACTCTTAGCAATTTTAGCACAGAATTCAGGCCACAGAACACAGAAACACAGCAGGGTGGCTAACTAGTTCCACTCTTCTTTTCCTAAAGAATTATTTGGGAACATTTAAACTTCCTTACCAATCAATTACATTAATATTCTAAACTGTAAATTATCTAACAAGATAAACATCACTTTTGAAACTTTAACCTTATATACAAAATGACAAAAGGAAGATTCCAGAATTTTACTTGACAACTTTTCCTGCCTGGGAAGCAATTATTCAAACATGTATTTAGCTCCTTAGTTATATCGTAGAGGGTATGTCTTTGAGTCAATTTTAATCTTTAATAATATTCTACATTAGGCATGGATCTTGATGTTCTAAAAATGTTAATTAAAACAAAGCCAATCGAGGTTTAAAATATATAGTTGCTTCAAAATCCCCATAAAAATTAGTAGTTTCAATCAAAGGTCTCATTATTTCTAAGAGGATGCTGATGTTTTAATTTATTTACAAGTCAATCACTGCATAGACAACAGATAAGCGATTTTACAAGTGTAAATTCATCCTATGTAGCTTATATATTCCAAATTCTTCATCTCATATAAAGAATAGTGTTTAAAAATAAAAAAAAACAAATTGCCCTGAGCTGTGGAGATTGTACAGAGGGCAGGGCACTTGCCTTGCATACAGCCAACCCAGGCTCCGTTCCTGGCTCTGCATATGGTCTCCTGATCATTGCCAAGAAAGATCCCTGAGTGCAGAGCCAGGAGTATGCCATGCTGGGGTCCAGCCCCCAAGCCCAAAATGTGATGAGTACAACGGAAAAAAGAAATGTACAAATAAGGGGCACTGCCAGTGCTAGACAGGACAGAAGGATATAATTTTTAACTGGGTAGTCTGATCATACTGTACCAGTCACAAGCAAATATTACCATAACATTTTTGCAGAAAGAACACTCTAGAAGAAAAACAAACAGTAAACATTCCTGAGGTAAGAGTAACTGGCACAGTTGAAAACGACAATGAGGCTAGAATGGCAGGATAATGAATGCACAACATGGTCCGAGACAGAAAAGAGCTTCCAGCTAAACTGGGTTCCATGCCTCCCTGGCACCATATACGGTCCCCTGCGCATGTTCAAGAGTGATTCCTGAGTGCACAGGCAGGACTAAAACCTGAATACTGAATACTGTCAGGTGTGGCCCAAAGAGAATAAAGAATGCAAGAGAAAGTATAGTAAAGCCTGAAGCTAGAAAAGAAAAAAGCGTGCGAGGGGTGGAGGCTGGTAGGGTTCGAGGGTGCGTAGGGTTTGGGTTACCGATCACTGAAAAACTTGTATGCCTCTGTAAGAACTAGGTTCTTGCCGGTTGAAATGGAAAGCAATTGCAAGGTTTAGGGCAGTGAAACAACATGATCTACTCTAGCTTCTGAAACACAGGTCAGGAGCAAATTACAATGTTGGAAAACTTCTCTAAGGACAGTACTTTTGTGCTAAACTTGTCCTAAATTTGTTTTGGGGTTTGCTATTCCAATATCTTTATACCAATAACAAGTAGAATCCTTTAAAAAGTCCACCAAAGGCAACCTCTGGAAGCCTGCTATCCATTAGAAAAAAAGATACAAAGACACATACCAGACACTCAGTGCTGATTTCTCAGACTTTACTCACCAGCTAACATGTGGGCATGAGCACCTAAAACAACAATGAGCTCAAAAGCTGTTTTCATCTTTTCTCGATTTGCTATCAGTTATTACCCTCCTTTTCTCCTTCCAGTCAAAGTCAGACATATTGAAAGAAATGTCTGTATATACATACCACTCTTCCTTCATCCATTTACTTTTTGATCTACTCAACTTCTCACCATGACACCTTAAGATACCCAAATTCAATGGATACATTTTAAATCTTGCACTCCTCAGCTTCTCAGCAGTATTCACCAGTTCATTTTGGAAACAATCCTACCTCCCCTATTCTGGCTTCGGTACACACTAAGCACTTTCCCTCTTTAATCAAGGTTTCCTTAGACCCCTTCTGTCCTCTACCTAGCTCCTCAGTTATCAAGGGCCCCCAACCCCACTGGGGAGCCCCTCAGACCTCAAAAAAACTTCAACCAATTTGTTCTCTCCATCCACTAATATACAGGTCATCAGATATATGTGAGTCATAAATCAGGTTTCCCTCAAACCAACAACATTATGTTATATACTGTTTGGCTGCTGTTAGCACGAATGAGTATTTATGTGTATAATAATAATTCGCCACTAACATTTAAAAATCGAGATATAATTAGCTCCCACCCACCCAACAGAAAAATATCTGGACTGGACTGATGACTGGATAGATCTGGGACCCTTGGCTGGAAGGCAGGGGTGGCCACCCGCTATGTCCAGAGCACTTGTGTGCTATTTTCGATCTAGCCACTGTTTTCCACTGGGTTCTAGTTACTCTTCTGCACCTTCTGCCTGGCCTCTTACACACTTGATGTTTTAGCTTTAGTATAGCACTGTCCTCCCTTTGTTCATCGATTTGCTTGAATGGGCCCAGTAACATCTCCATTGTGAGACTTGTTGTTACTGTGTTTGGCGTATCAAATACGTCACGGGTAGCTTGCCAGGCTTTGCCGTGTGGGGAGATACTCTCAGTAGCTTGCCGGACTCTCCGAGAGGGGCGGAGGAATCGAACTGGGGTCTGCCACGTTGGCTGCGTGAAAGGCAAACGCTCAACCCGCTGTGCCATCGCTCCAGCATACTCTTATCAAAATCGAAAGACAAGGAGGCCATATTTCAGAGCTCTCTTTGCCACACTGCTTTTTTTAGGTGATGAAGAATATGCATTATGCAAAGCAGGCACATGTGACTTCCTCTCTCAATGAAGCTACACAATTTTTGCAATAAATTTCAATGTCCAAAAGTAAAAGATACAATTTTCCTATAGCATCAACTAGCTATCAAACAAAAATCAAGTTAAAAAAAAAGAACCCTGCATATTACTGTAATCCTTCTCTTTCATAATGATCAACTCTGACCGTTTCCAACTTTTTAAGCTAGAAAGAACGTGAACTATCTTGTTTTCCCAGATTCTAGTTTTTCTTGCAGTTTCAGTCTGTCTTGGGAGAAATGCAGCTTACCACTACAAGTCCTGTTGTCAGCATTAAGAGAGTAGTGGGCAGGACATCCACAAACAAAACCTCCTACTGGCACAGCCAAGCAGAGGTGGGAGCAGTGCCCATTGCTGGAAGCACATTCATTCCATCCTGCCTGTCGAGAGGAGTGAAAGACGAGGATGTCCATCACATAATCCAAATGGCCCTGAATGATGGTGCGGTTTTGGCCACTGGTTTTGTTGGCACGCTCAATGCTGCGTCGGCTCCAATCCGTCCAGTAGATGTAATCTTGGTACTGAGTTAAGCCAAAAGGATGAGGCAAGTCATCTGCTATAACTTCACGGTTGAGTCCTATTTATGGAAAGGCAGTTAGACGGGAGAGAAGCAGAGGATGAAATATGTGTGCATGTAAGAGCAGCATAGCCAAAAAGCAATAAAAAAGAAAGAAATCCAAAACATATAAAACATAAAACTACATTTATAGCTAATGTGAAACAATTCACTTATACAATTCTGAATTAAAGCAGTCCTCAGAATCAATTCATCTGCCACCAACACCCAGCAGACCTGTACTGTCTTGCTATAAATCAATGAGTTTGTTTAAACTCCTGCAAATGGTCTACTTTGATTTTGGTATATTTTTCTCCATTAAGGTTTATGGTTCAACTCTGTTTCTTCTTTATATAAAAAGAAAAAAATGTGCATATTGTATTTCACTGGCACAAAAGCCACTTCAGGACTAGTCAGTTATATACTCCATTAAACCCCCAAATAATAAAATTTCTCATAACAAAAGCATGTGAATCCAGGTATCTGGCCTACTAAGGACCTAGACACTCATATTTTTAGCAGTAGTATCTAATGTGATATTAACAGGTACTAACCAAATGTGAGTAACAGGCACTTGTTTCTGCGTAGAAAAGAATTATACACCACGCTTGAATAAAAGAAGTACAGCTTACCAAGCATATTTGAAGATTCTATTAAGTTGGTATCTAGGTCTGTCCAATAAAGTCTCCTTTTAGCATAATCAATAGTTAGGCCATTTGCTCGTCCCACGTTTGGGACTAGTGTGGTTCGTTCACTTCCATCCATAGCAGCTCTGTCTATCTTAGGTTTTCCACCCCATTCAGTCCAATACATAAACCTATATTCAAAACAATGAATATGTAACACTTTACTTTTGATATTCTGCAGAAAGATCATAGTCATAAATAGTCATAAAATAAATTTGAAGAAAATACAAATTTAGAATTAAACAAAATCATGATTATATTTTTTTCTGGGTTGAAGCAGTAGCACAGTGGGTAAGGCATTTGCCTTTCACGTGGCTGACCTGGGTTTGATTCCTCCACCCCTCTCAGAGAGCCCGGCAAGCTACCAAGAGTATTCCACCCGCACGGCAAAGCCTGGCAAGCTACCCATGACATACTCGATATGCCCAAAACAGTAACAAGTCTCCCAATTTGTTTTGAGACGTTACTGGTGCCCGCTCGAGCAAATTGATGAACAACGGGATTACAGTGCTACAGGGCTATTTTTTTCTATTTTAGCACCCTTTATTTTTCCATGGCCCAAAGAGGAAGTGAGTCAGCTTTCCTTAGTTTTTCCAATGATTTCATTCCATCCAAAACCTAGGATTTAGAAATGTCAAATATTTTCTTACTGAAGCACTTCATTTATAAAATTAATATTCAAACAGAAATTTAAAAAGCACTGGTCTCAGAATCTGGTTAATTATAGAATATATATATCTCAAACCATGTAATTTGAGTTTTAAATTTTTTTAACTTTATTAACTTTTTAAAAAACTTGTTCTGATGTTGTTTGGGTGCCACACCCAGTGGTACTCAGGCCTACTCCTGGTCCTGGCAGTGCTTGGGCAATTAATGTGGTAATACAAATTCAAACGAGGCTTGGTGGGAAAAAAGGCAAGCACTCCTATACTATCTCTATAGCCTTATTTCTTTCAATTTTAAAATTGTTTTTCAAATTGTGCATTCAACTGTCCCCAAGTTATGAGTATATTAAAGGTAAAAAGAAATCACCTTCAAATGAAATTAAAGCAAAGCTCTTTATACAAAATACCAAGGAACGGTGTTTGTTTATGTGACCCAAGGAAACAAACTATAAAAGCAATGAAATACCCTTTTATCTTTCTGCTGCACGGTGAACATTACTCTTCAATTCTTATGACATTTTAGAATTACTTAAGTTTTTCACTTTAATAAACTTTAAGAGCAACCCTACAGTATAGCCCTTTTATAAGAGACAAGGAGACCAAAGAACTAAAGGAAACAAGGAGAATTTGATCAGATTTCCTCAGGCTAATCACATGGCAGTGCTAAAACTAGAACTAGAGTCCTTTTGTTGTTGTTCGTTTGGGACCACAACTGTATTCTCACTCCTGGCTCTGCGCACAAGAATCACTCCTGGCGATACAGGGGGACAATATCGGATGTTGGGGATCAAACCTGGGTCAGCACGTGCAAAACAAGTGCTATTGCTCCAGTTCCAAGGTCTAGAATCCTTAACCCAAAGCCTTTTTAACTAACTAAAGGAACTAAGATTGGGGACCCTCTGAATACCAAAGCTAGGAAAGCACTCCCTGCCCAGTTTTCACCGAACATCTAAGGACATTCATCCATCAGTCTGTCAGCTCATAGCTAAGTTAGAAGCAATGTATGAGACGTATTTTTCTAAAAGTTAAAGTTGGGGTCAGGCTTTGTTTGCATTTGTACTTGTCAGCTGACAAGCACGTGTACACTGCAAGTGCCAAAGAGAAACAACTGTGGGAGAAATTTCACAGTTGCCAACAGCCGAGATGAGAGTCCTTCGTCCTGCTGAGTACTAAATATATCTGTCTAGTAATTCATGCTTACAGTCAAGATCACCAGAATCAATCACAGGGCAGCATAGAGAAGCTCTGGCTGATATGGCCTTCAAACTAGATGGTGAATTAGCCAATCAAAGAATTCAGGGAATATTATTCAGATACAGTTTTTATGTCACCGACATGTAAATATTGCTAGCATTTGCATTCACATATCACTGATTTTACTCCAACAGATTTGGAACTGGATTTGGGAAAAGGTACAAGGAAATACCAGGCGCAATACTTCCAAGAATGCTATTTACTTATATGATCAATATGATCGAATATGACCAGTACTATTTATTGACCCACAGTGTTAATCAGGGGAGGGAAAAGGTAGGACACACTTGACCATGCTTAGGGGCTATTCCTGGATCTTGCTGAGGGGTCATTCCTGGCAGTTTTGGGGAGATCCTATATGATGTGACTAAACCAGGATTAGCTATACACAAGGCAGGTGTGTACACCTGCTATCTAGCCAATCTGCTACCTCTTTAAGTTTGGGGACCTTCTGCTATGTCTCCAGTTCCTATTTTGCTCATTTTTCTCTACCCAATGTTAAATAAAGACAAGAGTAAAGTAGCACTGATGATTATTAATTCTGAATCAGTCAAGTCTCAACTGATAGCTTTAAAATAAAGCCTGTCACTCATTTCCTCCCTGTTTTTCTGTATATATACTGCCATTATCAACAACACAGTCACTATCTATACCTCAAAGTTACATGATCAACGGACACCATTTTGTGAGAACAAATCACCATTAATGTCCTTCACCTGGATGCAGTGCACTAAGAGATTCCAGAAAAGTAACCAAATTGTGAAAAATACCCCAGATATTATCTTTGTTTTTGGAATCAGAACCCATGATGATGGTTTCATGATTTACAATTCCTTGGACTGTGCAAAGAAAAGTGAACCCAACAAACACTGGCCAACTCACAGTCTGTATGAAAAGACAAAGAACTGATTTAAAAAACAGAGAAGAAACCCTGGAACAGATGAAGGACATCCATCAGGTGTCAAAATTGGTGCTGGAAAAAGGAGTAATGACTCTGCAGTGACTTTACCTGTAGCAACTGGGCACATTTTTCACAAAGATTAATATATTTTAAGTAAAACCTCTTACGCATCAGGGTGACATACATTTGAAATTTTCTGAGAGTGACAAAATTAATTCACTGTTAAAGCAGATTATATTACTACTTAAATTCACATATCTGATTAAGGATTCAGTAAAAAGTGGGTATGATGGAGAAAAAATACAATAAAGCCTACCTGTGATTAAGTTGTCAGAGTCTTAATAAGCTTTAATGAACACGTCAAAAATATAACCCATAACTAGGCCATGTGCAATAGAGTTGCAAAGAAACCACATAAAAAGCGATTTACCCTTCAGCAGGATCCAATGCAAGAGCTCTGGGACTATCAAGATCTTTCCACACCAAAACTTGTCTGTGCTGCCCATCCAACTTTGACACTTCAATTCGATTCGTTCCTGTGTCTGCCCAGTACAAGTTCTTGCCAAGCCAATCCACTGCCATGCCTTCTGGATAATCTAAGCCAAATTCTACCACGTGCTCCAGTGCACTGCCGTTCATAAAGGCTCTGCTGATGGTCTGCAAAAGATTAATAACTAAGTCACAAGGTAAAAAACATTATCCAGAAAGAATGTATGGCTTGGTTTTTGCTGAGAGCGGAAGATGCAGAATAGCACATAGTATCTTAATAAAATTCACATATTTTGTAAGAACCAAAAAAAACTGATCTCAACCTCTAACCAATGGTAAACTCATCTCTGCCACTTTAGGGAGGAAATTTTGGTATTTTTAAGAACCAAAAATTCATTCTAGTAGGATGGTAAGAAGAAAGTGACTACCTAATCCTGGCTGAGATCTCTGGGGAAATTTTGGAAGGTGGGCAGACCAAGTTCCTACCCAGACAAAAGCTCTACTGCACTCACACCTCAACAGCTGCTACCAAGCCCATGGCCAGACCGCCCATTTAAATATTCTGAATTTTCTGGAGTGCGCGGCCACATCTGTGACATCTCCAAACTCTACAATACTAACCATCCCAGTAGGAGCACATCAGATTGGATGGGAATGTAATGTAGAAGTCAACTAATCCAATTAACAAAAACATTAACACGGAAGGCTCAACTAGCAACAACAGCTTGTCCCTTAGGCAAGGACAATGTCCCCATGGTGAGATACAACGATTTTCACAAATTTTCTCTTACTGAAGTATTTTTTTATCATTCCATTAGCCATTTAGTATTAACAAGCAATATAAAATATATTTTTGTAGGCCTGTTTGAGGGATGGTTGGGGAAATGGAGACAATAGTGAAGAGAAGGTGACGTGGCGGTGGGATTCGTGTTGGAATACTGAATGCCTATAATAAATAAATCATCATGAGCAATTTTTATAAATTGCAGTGTTTAAATAAAGTGGGGGGAAAGGAAAATTAAATTAAGAAAGTGAAAAATATGTGATGAAAATATTTTAAACTTTTCAAAAGCAGTCAGTTCTCTGATGGTATTTGAAAATATGCCATACCATCATCAATCTGAGATTTCAAAGCTTTAAACCTTATAAAATGCAAAGAATCATAATCATAGTTCTACCACTGAGCTTTGAATCTTCAAAATTTAAAATGCCAAAAATTATGAGATTAATACTAGGGTAGTGCTACTACTTCTTCTCTTATTGTATGTGTGGTGCTTGGGGGTGACACCCAGGTCCTCACACATGGAAACCAAGTGCTCTATCACTGAGCAACATTTCCCGGTCAAATATCATGAGTACTTTGTTTACATACAATTTTTCATTTAATCCTCACCAGTGCTCTTGGAAAAGAGACATTTTTAATTTCAGTATGAAGAAACTTATAAGGTCACATAACAAAGTCAAGGTTAATTTATTTACTCTGTATATGCAATCATTTAATAGATTTTACTAAGTATCATTAGAATCCAGCATTGGTTCTAATATCACATCATTTCTGCTTATTAGACAAAACTTGATAATAAGTTACTGTAAAAAGCCCAAAATAATCTGGAAGGAGGGACAATCATTCTTCACATTTTCTAGTTAGGAGTTCCTCTTCCTCACTGACTTAGTATGCATTTTAATATTTATCTTGGGGAAAGACAATAAAAGCATGTTATAACTCATAACTGGCAGTTTCTATCTTGGGCCCCACAATATTCCTGAAAATGCTTAAAAAAATCAAGTCTAAGTTGTTTATGTCAAACACAACTGTGTGCTCAGCAGAATATATTCTATCTACAAATGAAACATAGGTGATTAAGTCTTACAGATTTATAACACTCATGCAAATTATCTTATATGAAATGTCACTTAAAGAATTAATGCATGGATTAATGCATAGATTAGTCTTGACTTTCTGTGAAAAGTTAAGATGAGCTTTGGCTTAATGAGGCAGGTTGATTAACAGCATAAAAATTCGGGAGTTCGAGAAGCTCTCCCTTTAATTTCCTAGATATAACTTCCATTTATTTTGCTAACCTTGAGGGATATGTCAGTCCAGTAGATTCGGTTGTCTGTCACATCAAAATCCAAAGCAGAAGCTTCTTTGACACCAGTGAGAGGAATGGCAACGTTATTATTGTTTGTTTCCAAAGAAATTCGTCTGATATCTGCTCTCCGTGAAAACAAAAGGAAAGCCTCTGGGACAATGCAGGTCTTCATGTCGCTGATGAGCTCAAAGCCAATGGGGCAAGCACAGCGCAGGCCCTGTGGTCTATAGAGGCAAAGATGGCTACACCCCCCATTTTCCTCAGCACAAGGATTTGAACCTAAAAGAGAAATTTATTATAAATGGGCATCGAATGCAAAAGGGGACACACTCAACAAATGTTCACTTTAAAATGACTATGCAGGCAGCCAGAGAGATAGTATAGCAGGTAGGGTGCTTGCCTTGCACTTTGTCAATCTGGATTCAATCTTCAGAACCACGGTCCTGAAGAACACCCCAAAGAGTGATCCCTGAGTGCAGAGTCAGGAGTACAGCCAGGTGTGGTGTGGCCCCCAAACTAAATTAAACTATGCATTTGCTTGATAAAGATCAATGTCTGCTTCCAAGTCTAGTTTCAATTCTAGAATTATACTGGGGAGGATTTACAGGGAATAAAAGGCCGGCAGGCACAGAAGCACCGTTGTCGCAGTTACTCTGGTGGCAAGAGCATCGCAGGAGCCCAGGGGTGGAGCCAGAGTGCATCATGATTATCAGGTGTCCACAGCTAAGTATCACAGCATCAGTTTGCTGACCTCTGGGGGTGGGAGGGTAGGGGCCACCAAGCTGTCTCAGTACTGACCTCACCCAGGTCATAAGAGAGTTTCATAACTCATGCTAATAAACTGGAAATAAAAATAGGGCAAAATACAAAGTACTTTCTTTTATACTCACACCAAAATTTAAAAATGTGAGAACAGGACTAAATTATTTTGAAGAGGTGGTGGCATATGCGTGTTTAGTCCTTCAATCTACACACCAGAGTAAGGTCAACATTTAAAATGGCCATTCCAAGGATCAGAATGATATACAGCAGGTACACTTGCTTTGCACATGACCAACTGAGGTTCGATCCCTGGCACCCTATATGGTCCCCCAAGTCCACCAGGAGTGATCCCTGAGTACAGAGCCAGGAGGAAGCACTGTGCACTGCCGGGTGTGGCCCAAAACCCAAAATAATAAAAAAAAATAATAAGTTTTAAAATGCCCATTCCTTATTTAGCAGGTTATTTCTGTCTCCACATAACAGTGACTTACTCTGATACTTTAAAAACTGCTATCTCCATGTTTTCTCAAACCTGGCTCCATCTCTAAGAGGATTTTGAATCACTTACCAAAGATTCTATGAACATTTGTGGCTTTGAGGCCCATGAGGTCAGGAAGCTGATCTATGATGATTTCCCTCTCTGCACTTCGTTTGTGTACTCTTTCGATACTCCGTCTCTGCCAGTCAGTCCAGTACACATAGTCCCCCAACAGAGTGAATCCAAATATGTGAGGAATCTTGTCTTCCACTAGTACTCGTCTCCCAGTGCCATCAGTATTCATTACCTTTAAGTTTAGAAAGAAGAGAAAGGGCAAGTTCGTATTTTTCACAGGCACACAAAAATAACAAATTCAAATGCCAAGTGACATTAAAATAAAAAAAGTCCTTTCAATTTCTCCTATTGCACTTGCAAAATAACAACATACTGTATACTGATTTAATAAGAATGATTGTAAACACTCAATGCAAACTCATATTTTACCTCTATTTCTCCATTTACTCTTCTCTCTAAAAGTTCTGGAACTACTGAATAATATTTTCTAGTAAATGAGTATATAAAAAGTTAAAAACTTTTACAAATCATTTACTGTAAGTTGTCCCTGTTTTCAAATTACAATATATCTCCGCACATGATCTTAGTACAAATTTTGTTTTAAAATACAATTTTTTTAAATCTTTACAACTGACACAAAGATTTGTATAAGGTCACAAAGCTACAGAGCTGATGTCTTTGTAAGGCTTTTTCCACTTAGTGTATTTTTCATTTTCTTGCTTTTGTTTAAACACACACACACACACACACACACACACACACACACACAGGATTTCTATAAACTACATACACACACTCTAAATAAATACCTTATAACCTGAGGCAAAAAATCACAAAAGTACTTGGAGTTTATGACACACTCTACAACTTTCTACAATTTTCAGTAAGATAAACCTCCTCTTTCCAACTACCTACGCAACACAGAACCCATGCCGTTACTCTCATTATATAAACATTGCTTGAAGTTGACCTAGGAGTGGGGAAGGAACCCTTGGTTTCTGACACCGAGCAACAGGTACTATTTTCTGTTCTAAAAGATAAATTTCCGAAATCACCAATATCCAGTCACTAACAAGAAAATCTTTCTACAAATTTATTTATTTATTTGGTTCGGCAAAGCCTGGCAAGCTCCCTGTGATGTATTTGATATGCCAAACACAGTAACAATTGTCACAATGGAAACGTTACTGGGCTGGCTCGAGAAAATCGATGAACAACGGGAGGACAGTGACAGTGACAGTGATTTGGTCCGCCACATAAGTGCTAAAAAAGCTCAGGGGCCACTTCCAGCAGATATACAAGCAGACCTAAGTCCACTGGTCTGGTCTCAAGCCTAGGATGCAGTGATACTTATTCCAAGTGCTGCAGGCACCACACTTAGGGCCTTGGTTTTTTGTTTTTGGGCCACATTCAGCAATACTCAGGGATTACTCTTGGATTTGCACTTAGGAATCACTCCTGCTGGTGCGCAGGGAACCATATGGGATGCCAGGGATAGAATAGAGGCCAGGCACGTGCAAGGCAATTGCCCAACCAGCTGTACAATGGCTCTGGCCCCTAAGGGCCTTGATAATCTTGCATGAACTTCATCCCTTTGAACTACTCCCTCACCCAATGCTATCATTTAAAATGGCCTGGGTGCCAGGCAAATTAATGGTTATGAATAAGAATTTAGAAATCTAGTTTATATGGTGTTCCTGGGACTGGAGAAATAGTACAGGAGGTAAGATGTTTAATTATATGTAAATGAGCCCAGTTTGATTTCCTGTATCACACATGGTCCCCTACATACAGTCAGGGACTACTCCTGAGTACAGAGCCAGGACTAGCCCCTGAGAACTGTTGGACTCCAACTCCGCCTCCAATAAATAAAAAATAAGTGTCCTAGTTACTAAGATCTTCTCTATACAAAGGTTTTTTGTTTGGGGTCACACCAGGTGTGGAGGGGCTGACAGTGTCAGTGCGGGGGCTGCTTCTAGTGGTGGTTTCAGTACCAGGCGGTAGCACGAATCAAACCTGAACCATCAGCATAAAACACATGTGCTCCGGCCATCTGAATCATCTCCACAGTCCCAAACAGAAATTCTGAGTCCACATATTAAAAGCTCGCAATTACCAGTGGGATAATGGTACAGAAATTCAAAATCTTCATCTAATGACAATTCCCTCTAAAAATGAGGGCAAACATTAATATAACAGTGATCATTCTCTACAGTTTAACCATTTGAATGAAAGGTAGTTTTGTACAAATTTTGAATCTTTGTAAAAAATGTATACTACTGAAAAATTCTAAAGCAGAGTTCCAAAAAATGCTTTCTGATTTGAAAACTTAAATCATAGTGAAAAACATTTTCTCTCATTAGAAGAAATAACCATATTCAATATGCCAAACACAGTAACAATTGTCACAATGGAGACGTTACTGGACCCACTCGAGCAAATTGATGTACAACGGGAGGACAGTGACAGTGACAGAAGGAATAATGAGAGAATGCTATCACTGAAGCGACAGCACAGCGGGTAGGGCATTTGCCTTGTGCGCAGCCGACCTAGGTTCGATTCCTCCGCCCCTCTCGGAGAGCACAGGGCAGAGCCTGGCAAGGTCCCCGTGGCGTATTCGATATGCCAAAACCAGTAACAACAAGTCCTACAATGGAGACATTACTGGGGTCCGCTCGAGCAAATCAATGAACAAGGGGAGGACAGTGCTACAGTGCAGAAGAAACAAAATCTACAATTCTTTTTTCACTTAGATGAAGGTTATATTTCAACATTAATGTAAAATTTTTAAAAGATCTTGTCTTCAGTAGGAAGCTTACAGTGGGATGGGTGATTCACTGGGACAGAGGTGGAGGGAAGGGGACACCTGGGTGGATGGGGATTAGCGGGTGGAGCTGGGACAGCTCAGGTAGGAAATCCTACTAATCACAGTGTACAAACCACAGTACCCTCCCCCACAATTTTTTAAAAATAATTCCTGAGTGCAGAGCCAGGAATAAACTGCATGTGGTCCAAAACCCAAAATAAATTTAAAAAATAAGAAAATAAAAAGAGTATCTTTTTCATTTCATGTAATTTATGTACCAAGCACATCAATTCACACAAACATTTTAAGTGTTCCAAAACCATTTGTGGATACTGACTTCTCCAAGAAGGACACACAGTAATAAATCTGATTTCCATGACAGTAGCTGAATTGTCTACAACAAAATGATTTCACTGAACTTTCAGCTTAGCTCTCTGAACTCTCTGACACCTTCAGGGTTGTTCCATGCCTACTGGGTCCAGTAATGTCACAAACTACTGCATGTCTACCACCTGTCTTTCCTTCTTCCTTGATTGTACCATATGCAATTGAATACTGGTTAAAATTATTTCAAAAGTTATATATTTTTAGAATCAGTAAAACTCTACTTGCTCTTATCTGAAATCACACTGGCAAATTGACATTTCAAAACATTTTAAGAGCAAAGACAAAGATCCAATCCTTTCCTTTCTTTTAGGCTAACCCAAAACAGAAGTATTAAAATTATAGTTAAGTCAAAAGAGAATTCCTATCTGCCATACCATCCTTTTGGCTCTCCTGAATAAAAGAATTTAGCACCTGGTTCTGCTCTCTGGGATTGCTTCTGGTGGTATCCAGTAGCCCCCATGTGATTCCAGAGATCAAACCCAATTCACCCATATGCTAGGCAAGCACCCTAACCTCCATTCTATCTGTCCAGCCCCCACAGGAGTATTCTACACTGACAAGATACTGACAATTCGATTTAGCTGTGTGGCTCATGAGTATCTTTAGTAAGTTATCTATGAAATTCTTCATAGTGGAATAAAAGAAAATATAAGGAGCAAATCCAAGAGCACTTCAATAACGACTATTAATAAATGCTGTTATCATTTATTTATAAGGATAATCCTTAAGGACCCAGGGATTAATAATTTAAACAAATCTAATGATGATACTTCACAGTTAAAGAACAATAGGTGACTCCTTTTATTTAGTGCCTAATGATTATTTTCTTGAAATCTGTATCCCTCAATTACTTTTGTAGACTTGATACTTGGTGATCCCTTAAATATTTCTCACCTACAAGCTACATAATCACTTTTTTCAGGACAGAAGTCACACAATACAACAAAAACATGTTCCTTCTTCTCAACAAAATCACTATTGAAATTTTCACACCCAACAAATAACACAGGTTTCTATGTTTGTAAATACAGTTTTAAGCCTCTTGTGTTTAAAGTATCAATACAAATTTCTGTAGAAAGCTTATTTGTTCATTCTAAACCCAGAACAAAAGAACTATTTTAGGTTATGCTTTCAAAGTTAGGCCAACACTAATTAAATCTCCTGGCAACTCTTAGGGATATGCTTCATTGTATTACCTCATAGTGATTTAATTAAACTGAAATTAGGCTTCTGTCACTTGTTAAACTACCTGCCAGCCTGAGTGAGAGTCTCCAATGGCATCAGTTGCTTTCACCATACCATGTATGGATTTAACATTGAGGGATTCTCAAATACTGCAAACCACACTGAGAATACAGGTTATCACAGGAAATGAACTTACATTAACCAGAACACTAACTCCAAGAGGAAGTCATGGCAAACCTTCCACAGACGTCACATGCAACTTTTAAATTTTTATCAGTTCATTAAATGTCAGGATAAGATTACCAATGAATCTTGGAACGCAGCCAGTTTACCACCAAAAGTTTCTGCTATGGAACTTCACTTGATTGGATATATTCAAAACATAGTATTCTAACAGGACAATCAGGCACCTAGCCTAAAATGATGCTATAAAATCATAAAAGAAAACTTTAAATTATGGTCACAAAGAACATCTTGCAATGTTTCAGACAAAAGCAGTGAATGAAGTTTATAAATATGACAAATAAAACTGGGGCTGATTGAAATACTTCATAGGTGAAATATAATTTTTGTAAAATATAATTCCACAAAAATGGCATTTTGGGGGGCCACAGTCATAGTACAGTGGGTAAGGCGTTTGCCTTACACAAGGCACAACTGGGTTCGATCCCTGGCTCATATGGTGCCCTGAGCACTGCCAGGAGTGATACTTGAATGCAAACCCAGGTTTGGCCCAAAATGCCTCCCAAAAGGAAAGGGGGGCATTTTTTTCAATTTTTTCATTTTTTAACATTTCAGTAATGCAGAAAGTCACTGAGGAGACAAGGAGAAATCTGTGGATCCAGAAGAAGTAA